ATAATTGCATTGCATAATCTTAAATTATGGGTTCTCTTGAGGCTACGGCTACAGTAACAAAGATATATTAAAATGTTGTGACGCAATAGATACCAGCTGTCAAAGTTCAATGGCCAACGAATCATTTTCACTACCTCTAAATTTTATTAATCACAATTATTTTTGCCATCTTTAACCATACCACTTTTCTTTATGAATGCAAAAAAGATATCGAGCCAGAACGCTCCAACACACAATTATACAAAACAATGAATAACATTCAAAGATTCACTAGAAACTCGGTTTACAAAGAAACTAATCACACAATTATACAAAATCAACGAAATTTAAATAATACAACACTAATTGAACTAAAACACATAAAAGTCAACTTCGACAAATACCAAAGAAAAAACAAGAACGAGATCAATATGAATTGACTTAAGAGAAACAACGAACCAACGAAACAAGGAAAGTGAATCAACGGATTTTCTTGTAGAGGGAGAGGACAGAGATGATGGAGAGGAGGAGGAGGATGACCGAAGCAAACAATGAGACGGCGATTGCGCCTCCGACATGACGGCAAAACTTGTCGTAAATATGACAGATTTTGCCCCATCTCACTTCTTTGTTTCCCTTCAGACCAAGGTAAGCTACTCCACCTCCTGCTCCAGTTGCTGAGGCCACTATCCCCACCATCACCTATTAAAACGATGTCGTTGTACGTTAGGTTAAGTAATGAAACAAAACATTACTTGAGAAACGGTTTTACTTGTTTTTATGTATCTTATTTTTTACTTGATGTTATCATTAATTACCGCATCCATAATGGCAAGATTTAGCAAGAGAATCGCAGAGCAGGAATGCTTCTTCAAAGCAGATACGGTGACAAATGTAGATACAATACTGTAAAAGCAAGCCACCGATAATGCTACCACAAAGTATCTGCACATTAACAAACGAAAAAAATAGATTCAGTTATTAAATACTCCATAAATTAAAAGAAGTATACGATTTTAGAATCATATGATATAAAGATGCTTTATCATTATCACTGAACATTTTAATATTTTGAGTCTTTTTCGTTAACTAACTTTCGCCAACTTACTTTTGACTTTCCAAAATCTTTGTTTCGAAATTCCAACTACTCCCACGCACACAAATAAACAAATCATATAATATCGGCCATTTGCATGTATAGATTTTACTTGTTAAAATAGAGGCTTAATTAAACATCTACGTAACACTACATCCTTTTCCCATATACATTGACCAATTCTCTTGGTTTCTCAAAATTTTAAAAATAATATATATATATATATATAGAGAAAAAAATCAATCAATTGTATTACACTATCCTAATTTGACATGACTTCTTCTAGTTAGGATTAAGATATGGTTTAAGACCCGTGCTAAATAAACCAACCTCTATTCCAAATTACAACGCTACTTCTACAAAAAGCACAACAAACTATAATTATATTGTGTACTTAGTTTGACTATATGAGATATACAAATCACATATGAACTCCGGCCCTTAATTAGTTACGTTACATTTTACTATTAATAATCAATCAATTTTGAGAACATAAAATAATATAAATAGTGGATTAATTAATGAATTATTAGGGTGAACTTACATAAGAGCCGGTGAGTTGGTGAACTTTGCAGCAGGAATACGAATGGGAGTTCCAGGAATGAAAATGTTCTTGGTCTGTTTACTTGTAACCATTACCACTATTGATGTCAAAGTGGCTGCAAACAGAACGAATCTTAGGACAACTTGAGTCATCCAACAACTCTTTGTCGTTGTGCCGCTTCCTGGCACGGTTGATCTCTCGGTGTCCAACGTCGATTTGGTTTCATCAGAACCCATAACTTTATCTTGATTTGTTAGGAAAGGTGATATGAATTTTTTTTGTTATGGGGATGTGGTGATTATTTAGGTTGAGAGGGGGCGTTTTATATTGTGGCTTTGAAAGAAGTAATTGTGTTTTTTATTGCTATTATAATGTTTATTCTTATTATAATATAAAGTCGTGGGACTAATATGGTGGGTGTTTCAGACACGCCAGAGATATTTGAAAATCGTAAAGGGTCAATATGTTCACATATATCCGTAAGACTCATCTTCTGGCATTCTCATCTTTATTGGTCTTATGGTAGTTAATGTGAAACTACGCTAAAATATCGTGTGTGTCCGTGTGTGATTCCATGTTGTCGACATTAGACAATAAAAATGGTCAAATGGACAGCCGTATCCTTTTTTTTTTGGCTAAACAGTCGTATCCTTTTTACGTATACGATAGACCGGAATTGGCATTCAAAATTATTTATTTCGTTTACTATATATATATATATATTAAAGACTATATATGATATATATTATTAAATTAATGTGCCATTTCATAAATCGCCCAATATTCTTACAACAAAACTAACAAAAGCTCACATGCACTATTTATTAATTTGTACAAAGTGACCACAAGTTGATATATTTTCCCTATAAAAAAAAAAGGTTGATAAACTATCGTATTATTTAGGGTTTTTCTATTGCGTGTGGGTATTTTGGTATTATGAACTTATAGTCTTATAAGGTAAAGGATGAAGTAAAATTAAATAGATACATAGGCTAGCTTTATAATTTAAAATAATATACCCACCCATATATTAATTTGATATTTTTTCATTGTAAAATAAACACATCTTTCCCAGGTAGTGCGTTAGTCATTGTAATAATTGATAAAGAAACTTATGATGCCACAATATAAAAATTAAGCAAGATTGAATCATAGCTTCTGGGTATCGATCGACAGTTTTGACCGCTAATTATACGTTTAGTACTTGATATAAAAATGTAGCAATTTAATTAATGAAACTAGTATATAATTGAAGAGGCAATCTCTTCTTCTCTAAGTTTTGGGAGAATATGCATTCTATAAGGATAATGACGTTGTCTTTTAAAACAATTCCATCATCTCATTTTTGTCTTTACCCGTTTCCTGGATAAACGTTGAAAAGTAGGTATATTGACCATGTTTTCACGGATTAATAATTATATAAGAGGATCTGGTGCTCCATTGATCCTTAGATAAAATATTCAAAATACATCATATTTCCAAATCTTGCTTTTACCAATCACTGATACATCATTTTTTTTTTTTTTTTTTTTTTTCACTGATACATCATTATGGATCGTAACATCCATATTAAAACAGTTTATTAATCTGATGTTAGATAACTTTTATGGAAGGCAGTTTAATTGGGTCAGACTAGATTAGTTTTTTATGTTTCATTTTCAAAGGTAAGGATAACATATACATGATGTACCAGATTAATAATAACTAATAAGCAAACTATTAAGAAAAGAGATGAGTAAAAAGTAGTACTAACTAAAACTTCAATTGGAGTCTCTCGGTTTAAGGTAATAAACACAATATTATTATGTTGATGATTCGTTTACATATAGATTATGGGTCGTTAATCGACTTTAAAATAAAGATAAGTGAGCCTGCAATAATTGAGGAACACTTTTATGCATGACGAAAACATGACAACTAAAGATACGTAAAAGATTTGTCTAAACACTAACAGATTGTTGCTATATAACAATGAAAAAAAAAGAAGTAAGATACGTATGGCTATTGGCCATTACTATTTTATTCTATAATTAGACTAAAAAGGAGGTTCACAAAAAAATATTAAAATAAAATAGAATAAGGCAGCTGTCCTGAATAAACGAAGATCTTTGCCTTTAGAAAATTGGAAGTGAATATGATAAGGCAATGATCAAGACAGCGATGATGATTGATTGTCTTGAACGAATTTTGTCAAAGGTCTTTTGTCTTCCAAAAATTCAAGCAGATGTGTTTTTTTTTCTATAAATATACGTATTTATATATAATTGTCAATATGTATATCAATGCGTATTTAGAGTGTTTATACCGGTGAATCTTTAAAGACTATTATTAGTTTCATATTGCAAATTGCGACATCTGAAAGCAACAGCCGAATAATGATAAAATAGCGTCTTGAAAAGTATCTAAAATGATACTTTTTTCTGTCAACAAGTATGATCTCAATTATCATTTCAAGCTTTTTGTTTTTAATCAGAACTATCATTTAAATGCTGACAGAGTCACGCATATTTGTTTTTAAAGAGTCTTTAGATGGTTTACAAAAAAAAAAAAAAGTCTTTAGATTTATGGATTAGTATAAAGAAATACTCCAAAATATCACAACAAAAAAATAGTTCCGAAAATACAACTAGTCCTTTATAAAAATATAAAAAATACAACAAAATTTATAAAGTATATATATATATTAATAGAAAGTATATATTAATAGGTTCACTAAATAGTTTTGGGTCCCTTTTCTAAAATTTTAAACAGTATTTATAAACCAAAATTTTGTGGTGTTTCTGAAATTTTGGGATTTTGATGGTACCTTCAGAAACCATAAAATATGGTATGTTTGATATTTGCCTTCAATATCAAGACTTTTAATAATTAAAAATATATATATATATATATATATATATATATATAGTGATAAAAAAAATTTCACTTAATAAAATGCAAAAATTTGTCATAACCTCATAATTTTACTTTCTGGTACTATTTGTGATCATCGATTCTAGAAATACCATTTTAAAATTTAACCAAAACTTAATGCGTGTTCTTGAAATACTCAGAATGTAAAGAAACAATTGTAGCAAATAAAAAGATCATGATACGTTTAACTTATCTAAAAATCATACCGAAATATTAATACCAAAATGTTGCTAAAATTTCCACTAACTTATGTCTTAACTAAAATCCTAAATCCGTACTAAGAACAGAAAAGGAACCTCTTCTTTCTTGATCCCAAATATGTTGCATCAAGGTGTGAGACTTTTACCACAAAAAGAAAGAAATCTAGACGAGGTGGAATTTTTTCTTCAGATCTACCACAGCCTTGTAACCACCAGATTCTGAAGTCAGCTAATTACACATAGCCGTCATTTATTTGGTAATTTATTTACAAGTAAAATCTGTTTATCAATTCAATCAGTTGTTAAAACTATTAAAAACCTTGGAAGAGAAACCAAACTGTGCACTACTTATTAAAAAGAATTTAACAATGACCCACGAGTATTCCAACACAAACTAATTAAAGTCACTAAAGAGATCAGAGAGAGTACGAAGATTGAGAAGCATTTTATATCCCTGCGGATCCACTCACAAAGACAGTGTTAGGATATCTCCTGCTCCAACATTGTAATGTGCAAGAGACCTGTTGTTGTCCTTTAAAACTCCGGCTTTTCCACTTAAGTTTTGTGTGTTTGCTGGAATTTGAATCTTCCCAGCTATTTTCTCCTTCAAACTTGCCACGCTTTCCGATAAAGACTGCACTATGATCTCAATAACTTGCCCACCACCAGCAGCATCTTGAACGGAAACCTTGATTGTAGACGAGCCCTGAAAAAAACTGCTAATGATTAGATACAACTCTCAGTCTTAGAGGAAAGCAAAACAAAGAGAGAAACATTACCGGATGTTGAGCAAGAAACTGGTCTTCTGGAACAAGGGCTGACTCGTCTAACTTTTGTCTCTTTGGATCTGGTTGCTCTAGTGATGGAGGAGACTGCAACATCTGTGGATTCTGGTCCTTGTTAGTAAAATCTTTGGTCACAGAAGCATGCCAATCAAGCATAGCCTTCACTCCTCCCTGAAGCCATTCATAGTGCTGGACAGGATCCCATTTAAGACGTTGGAGAAAAGCATCAATAATGGTGGCAGTATAAGCAGCACTATTTCTCAGCTCTTGTTTCAAACCAGCGGGGGGCGTTAACACTTTTGAATACGCAACAACAAACTCACTGAAACATTTGAACCTGCTATCAGTTGAATCCATAAACTCAAGCTCAGGTATCTTTCTTTTTGCCAAACCCAACCAAAAAGCAGCCCCATACCACGAGACAAAGTGTGCTGTGAGCTTAATAGTATCAAACTCCTTGAGAGACATCCCTGGAGGATTAAAAAACAGTAGAAAATCAGGCAGATCTATGAATTGAGGCTGAGTACGGGGTTGTTCTGCAGCATCATCAACTTCTGAATCAGTAGCATCATCATCACCCACTTGAGAACGGTATTCGTTAAGCTTCTGCTTGTAAAATGCGTGAAAAGGATCTGATCTTCTCATAAAGTTGTAATTTGGATTGTCTACATTACATTCCATCATCATTTCCTCAGCCTTCAAACCTTTGGCAATGAAAAGCGCCGTTCTCTCAATAAGAGTTTTGATACTACCTGGAGGTGGCTGAATGATTTCGGTAGTGCTACTTATATCAGAATCATCCTTGTGAGCTCCATTTCTGTACTCCATAAGCTTCTTCTGGTAAATTCCGTGATTAGGATCTGAGCTCATCAAAAAGCTGAATCCTGGAAACGAGTCCATGATCTCCTTCTCAAACTCAACTCCGTTTTCGGCTATGAATACTGCTGCTGACTCGATATTAGTTGCCATATCTGGAACATTCTGATTCTGTGACATTTTTTCTACAACCACAAGCAATTAAACTATCAGATTCTTGAAAAACCAAAAACAATCTTTATCAAATCTACCAATCTTGAAGAAGAAAGCTTAATACACACTCCCAGAGGAATTTCATCAAACACTTACTAGACATCAATTCTATTTGACAATTCCACTCAAATAGAAACTCTACTAAAAGCCAATCCTAAGCTAAACTCAATGCAACGAAGCGAAATTCTTCAAAGTGAACGAATCAACAAGGACAACAACAAATCAAATACAAGTTTGAGTCTAAAATCGTAATCAAAAGCAAAATAGCTCTCTGTAGTGATTGATTCAGGTAAGATCTTGATCTTATCGATTGTTCTTTGCGTTGAAATCAGTACAGAAGAAAGAAAACGAGAGAAACAAGCGGCGATTTCTTCACTCGAGAATGCTTCACTCTCAACTTCTCAAGAGGAATCTACAAGATTACGCAAGAAGAGATTCAAAGCTACATACCTACACGAGTCTCCTAGAGGTTGATGAAGAAGACGAAGAAGAATCAAAACCAGATCTCTCTCTCTCTCTCTAGTCGATTTCTTCAACTTGTAGCTCTCAAACTCCTTTCTCTCTCTAAATTGTTTGTTATAGCTCTGTTTGGAAGATAACATCGCAACCGCAACCGCCAAATCGCTGTTGATTTTGCAGTTGGGATTCTCTTCCTTTATGGGCCTTAAGCCCAAATCTCTCACTGACTCAAATAGCTAATCCTAAGCCCAATTACGCTATATTAATAAGAAGAGCCACATTTATTGACAACAAAAAAATGAAGTTTAATGACAATAATATTTCTACCAAATAGTAACATTTTATAGTTTCAAATTCAAACACACCGTTTCTCGCACCAAAAAAGTCTGTAAAACAGAAATTTAAAAAGTAGTCAGAATCATCCTTTGAACAAGCTTCACGACACCATCTTTGAATGCCAATGCTGTACGGCTTTCTTTGCATCTTCCACCTCGGCGATATTACGGGCGTTTGGAATTCCAGAGATCAGGTTGGAAACCGCCACACCAAGATCGATACAAATCTGATCGATTGTTCCTATCCTTAGCTTCCAAACATTAGCAGCCAATCTGGGTGGAGGAAGTGTGTAAAAGAAAGCACGCATTAGCGTTTGGAGAACATTATACTCGTTAACAAGAGCAACCTCTATAACGGGGTTGAAGGCAGCATGGAGACGAAACCAACGGTCAAAATCAACAATTTCCCGCATCTGCAAACAATCCATAAACAGTTTAAGAAACAGATGCATAAACACTGATTCTCAGATTTAGAAATGATCAAATTACGAGATGGTTGAAGATAGTAGCATCAATAGGTTATGAATCAATTAGCTAAAACTTGTACCTGATTAAGAGGAACAATGAGGTGTTTGTGGAAACGCTGATAAGACTCTGGAGACAATTGTTCATAAGCAGTTTGCGCATTGTTCAAGAAATCAAGTGCCTATGTAGAAAGAAACGGATTTATAGGTTAGAGATATAATACAAAATCAATAAGAATATGTAATTAAGGTTAACAAGTTACCAAATTCAGCAGATTGCAGTGAGGACCATATTGTATAAAACGCTGTCTTATAAAAGCGTTTCTTTCTTGATGTTGAAAAGCCCATCTCTCAAACTCATGACACAATGCCGGGTAATGAGGACGTCTTAAGCACTGCAATTTGGGGAAATAAACAAGTTAACACTACAACAATGAGCTAACACAGAAGAAGAAGAAGAAGAAGATACTAATGTTGCAATCCAATACCTTTCCACAGGTTTGCAATTTGCATTTTCCACATTTGATTTCGTAAACAAAGTCGTTTTCGATGTGATAGAAGTTATTACATTTTACGCATCGATAGACCATCTTCAATGGAAAAAGCTGATGATCTACAAAACAAATTGAAACAGAGATAAGGTTTTATGCAGAGAAGAGAGAATACCAATTCTAAACTAAGTAACCTAAGAACAATTGACACATCTCCTCACCAAAACTGGAAAAAGTTTGAAGCAGAGATAAGATCTTAAGCAACGTAAGAACAATTGACGAACATCAAATTTGGTAAAACTGGAAAAATCTAAATCCAAATCATCAGTTTAAGGAGACGATCGAGTTAAGAACAAATGTTACTGAATCAAGAAACCCTAAAGATAAGATCAAGCAAGAGACGAACAAGAAACAATCTCTACCAAAGCAATCATCTAGATCTTTAGATTAACAAGAAGCAATCTCTACCAAATCTATATTATCAGATTACGGAGACGAACAAGAAGCAATCTCTACCAAATCTGTATCATCAGATTACGGAGACGAACAAGAAACAATCTCTATTAAATCTATGTCATCAGATTACGGAGACGAACAAGAAGCAATCTCTCTACCAAAACAATCAGCTATAGATCTATAAAATTGGAGGAAGATCTAGCAATATATACAAAACCAGCTTCGATTGGAGAAGAACACGAACCTTAGAGAAATTACTAAATCGGGAAACCTAAAAGCAAAATTGGAGACGAACAAGAACAGCTTCGATCACCGGAGATATTTGCGATGAAACTAGCTTCGATCACCGGAGATACTTGCGATGAAACTAGCTTCGATCACCGCGAGATGGATGATGACGGAAACACCTCCGCATTTTTTTTTTTTTTTTTCGTTACCGGCGAGAGAGAGACGGTTATCAAAATCCTTTTTTCATGAACTATCAAATATAGTCAATGGGCTTGTCAATTTAGTCAATGGGCTTGTGATGAAATTTAAAACAAGGGATTTTATATGTTTTTACAGAGAATTTACAAGCTTTGAACAAATTTATAAGAATCTCCATCAGAAAATCTCAAAAAAAAAAAAAAAAAAAAATGTTCAAGAACAGAAAAAAATAGATGGAATTGAAGAGTTTTGATAATTGTGTAGTTGTGTGTGAATGGGTAAAAAAAGAAGAAGACATAATTTGAAGAACCACAAGAATCAGAAGAGTATTTGATGATATGAGTAACGAAGAAGAAGATAGATTGTTGCAGATGGTTTTATAGGGAAGAGAGTTGGGTTTTAAATAATGTCAACATCTCTATATAAAGAAAACTAAATATTCTCTCCTGATTTCACGTAACGTCTTAATTTTTCGTATTTATTATGATTAAAGATTATGTCAAAGTTTGCTAATGAAACTAATTAAAGAGTGAAGTCGTAAAATCCTGTTTTCTATATATACTATATAAAATCTTATCATTAAAATCAATTCTTTCTATTTTATTCATATTTTTTTCCCATATCATTAATCTTATCATTGAGTAGTATAATTTAGTGAACATGTTGTGTGTTGTTGCAACCAGTGTGCAAGTGGGTCGGAACGTGACCAGTGACCACCACCATGTTTCTTTTGCTTTAAAAAAACACAAATAAGTATGTTTATTTCAAATTATACGATTTTTTAATTCCAATAATCAGCTTATGAGATTACAACCGATCTTATCGTTGTTACTTGTTACTGTGATTTGATAAAGAAAATAAAAGAGTTTTACCGTGAATAATGCGGCTCTTATTACTTCTTTTTAGTCTAATAATGTAATTTGAGAGCTAATGGTCTTTTAGGAGTCTCGATTCATCAAATCAAACGAAGGGAAAACATAAAATTTCATATATTAGGAACGTAATGAGACAATTGTAGTAGAAGTAAAGAGATCATGATCAGTTTAACTTATCTAGAAAAAAAAAGGAAAAACCATACAGAAAAATTAATACCAAAAGGTTTCGTACATGTTCCAACAAGTGTCTTCTCATTATAAGTTCTAACCTAAAAAAAAATAAAAAATCCATACTAAGAACAAAATGAGTGTTTTAGTCGTCTTGAAAAAACAAGAAAATGAAGAATATGATTAAAACAAAATAGAAAATTAGAGATTGATCCCATATAAATCTAAGTACAAACTAATTTATTGAAAGCAGTAAAAAGTGTTTTCTTATTTTTTCCTTGACCGAATCGCTCCGTTTCAATCTTGGTATTTGGGATTTCGTTTCTTTCATCGAACCGGTTATACTAATACTCATCAAACAACAACATCGATCCCAATTCTCAAATATGGTTGCAAGAAAAAAATGAACAATGAGGAGAATATAACTATATAAACATTAACGTTTCCTATTTTTATCTCCACTTTTAAAGGAGATCGAAACCGTCAGATAGTAGTATGTATTTATAATAGTGCTTGTAAACCTAAACTGTCAATTTCTTCAAAGCGTTCATTCTCGGCTTTTTTTTCTCAACGTCACGGCCATCTTCACGACTGAGGTACGGTGTCTCTTATCTCTCTCCTACAAGAATCTGATACTTTTAAAACCAATAAATTAGGTCAAAAACTGATATTTTGATTGCTTGTGGTTGTAGAAAAAAATCATAAAATGTCGGAGAATAATGATGATACATATCAAGGTCATGATATCAAAACTATCATCGAGAGAACAGCAGAATTCATTGCCAAAAACGGGGATGAGTATGAGAAGGAGTTCTTGGAGTCTCATCCAAAACTCACCTTTTTTATTAGCTCAGATCCTAATCACTCATTTTACCAGCAGAAGCTTATCGAATACCGAAACGCATCTCATGATCATAATGCTACTGATGATGATTTTGATGATAATGTTGACAGTAGCAAAATCATTCAGCCACCTCCAGGTGGTGTCACAAATCGTATCCAGGGAACAGCACTTTACGTTGCTAAAAAGGGTTTCAAGGCTGGGAAGATGCTCATGCAATCTGAAGCTAATAACCCAAGATACAACTTTATGAGAAGATCAGATCCTTATCACGCGTTTTACAAGCAGAAGCTCGCTGAGTACCGTTCTCAAGTAGATGATGATTCTACTGATTCAGATGATATTACTGATGAAGAAGTGGTTGCTGCAGCACGACTCAGTGTTGCTCAGGCTGAGTATATATTCTTGCCTAATCGACTACTTATTTGTCTTCCTCATGGGATGAGAATCGAGGAGTTTAATACTATTAAGCTCACAGCACAGTTTGTGGCGTGGTATGGTGGTGCTATTTGGTTGTGTTTGAAAAATAGAAAGATTCTTCCTAAGTTTGAGTTTTTGGAGCAAAGTGCTAAATGGTACTCATGTTTCTCTAAGTTTGTTATTGAGTTTTCCAAAGTACTAATGCCCCCGGCTGATGTGAAACAAGAGCTGATTAATAGTGCTGATTATGTGACCACCATTGTTGACGCTTTTCTCCAACGTCTTCAATGGAGTGCTCTCCAGCACCAACTATGGTTGGAGGGAGGAAAGAGGGCTATGCTTGATTGGCATGTTTCTGTCACCAAAGATTTTAAGAACAAGGACCTTGAGGAACCAGATCCAAAGAGACAAAAGTTGCAAGACTCAGCCCTTGTTCCAGAAGACCAAGTTGTGTGACAAACGCTTGTGGGAAATAAATGCTTCTCATGAATCTTCTCTCTTATTCCTATCTGTAATACATATGTTTATAACTCTCTCTAGCTCTACTGAGTACTAACTTAAGTTTGTGTTGGATTCTTATCTTGAAAGATCCCTCTATAACATGGTCATGGTTAAGCTCTTTTGAATAATTAGTGCAGTTTGGTTTCTTTTCCAAATTGTTTTCAATAGTTAAAACTGATTTTACTGTAAATTACCAAAAATGTTGTTGTATATCACAATTTTATTCCAAATTTTCAGAACCTATTAATGAGATCATTGTAACACAACTAAACACATTCTTGCATCTCCAAAAATCCAATATACAACTTTTTATTTTTATTTCTCAGTAATTTTTTAAACATATCAAATTACATTTTAAATATATTCAATTGCATTAATTAATTATATTTATTTATAAAGTAACAATAATAAAGTCATAAATCTTAATAATTTTAATAGAAATATTATTATCATAAACTTATATAACACAATTAAGCATAAAATTACATCTCTTAGATAACAAAAATTAAGTATAAAATTACTTAGCATAAACTTATAAGAATATAATTAATTTTAAAAATAATATATTATTGTATTAACTAAATTAAAACCAATTAATTTTAATATTTTATAAGCCGACATTAGAAACCCAAATAATAAAGCAGGCCCATTAGAAAACCACCTCAACAAGGAGTTTCGTTTATAAATGTGCTAAGCCTATGGCTCAGTTTATTTGTTTCTTCCTTGATTGCCAAGCTTTGTTAAATCTCCAAGTCAAGGCTGTTCTCGCGGTGGAGCTTTTCCTTCCCGGCTGAGGTACGGTGTTTCTTATCTCTCTCCAAACCCCTAAGTAGTCCTTCGCGTTGACGAACCTATCAAAGTAGATTTGGTAGTTTGTTGTGGCGATTTTTCAAATTAGGTCAGATACGAAGAATCTGATTTTGATTTTAATGTTTCTTATTGTAGGAAAAATGTCCAGTTCGATTCAGAATGAATTGCAATCAGAGCAAAACAACTCCGAAGCAACGAGTATCGAAACCATCGAGCCACCTGCAGATATCATAACTAGAACTATTGTCGAAAGCACTGCACGTTCTGTTTCCAAAAACGGCTTGGAGCTTGAGAGAAAGATCATTGCCTCTTCAACTGATCCAAGATTCAACTTCTTGAGGAACACGGAAGATCCTTGTCACCGATATTACAAGCACAAGCTTGCTGAATACTCTGCTCAGAATCAAGATGATTCTACAAATGAACCAAACATCAAAATCTTTCACGCACCTAAAGATGTACCAACTACAAGTATTGTCGATACAGCAGCGCGTTTGGTTTCCAAATTTGGGTTGGAGTTTGAGATGATGGTTAAGGACTCTAATACAGATGATGAAAGATTCAACTTCTTGAAAAGCTCTGAACATCCTTATCACGCATTGTACAAGCAAAAGCTTGATGAATACGCATCAGATCCTCGTGACGAATATTATCAGCGCAAGATTGCTGAATGCTACGTTCAGAATCGAAAGGGAGCTACTGATGTTTCATATCCTATGGATATCAAAATCTTTCATGCCCCTCCAGATGCCCAAACTGCAGCCATTGTAGACAGAGTGGCATTTCTGGTTTCCAAATATGGGTGGCAGTTTAAGATGATGGTCATGGCCTCTAATACAAATGATGCAAGATTCGACTTTCTTATGAGCTCACCAGATGTTGACCTTGCTCAAGATTATTACCAGAATAGGCTTGGTGCATACTGTCATCAGAATCATGATAAAGTTCCTCATCTTGTGCCGCCCTATACTCATTCTCAGTCTAGGGTTCAGTCTCAAAGACTTGTTCTGCCTAATTTTCTAGATTGTAGAGTTCTTGAAGGGATGACGCTCGAGGAGCTTGATACCGTTAAGGTCACAGGGCAGTTTGTGGCGTGGTATGGGGATGTTTTTCGTGGGAAACTGATGGAAAGAGTGATGATGAACCATCAGTTTGAGTTTATGAAGCAAACTGATTACAGGTTCTCTTTCTTCAACGAGTTTGTTGTTGGGTATTCGCAAGTATTAAATCCTCCCAAATATTTGAAAGATAAGCTGAATAACAATGCCGCCTATATGACCGCCATTCTTGAGGCTTTTCTCGAACGTATTCTATGGGATCATGTTCAGGAGCTTAAATGGCTTGATGGAGGGGAGAGGTCTATGATTGAGTGGCATAATTCTGTGTCCAAAGATTTTGTGGAGGATCTAGAGTTGCTACCACTTCCTCCAACAAAGAGACCAGAGTTGGATGAGTCAGCCCTTGTTCCACTTGAGCCAGAAGACCAGTTTCTTGCACAACATGAATGTTTGTCTAGTATTAACATAATCAGGGTGATTTGCGTTCCCGATGGGCGAGTAATAAAGATCAGAGTGGAGTCATTGTCTGAAAACGTAGCAAGTTTAAAGGAGAAAATAGCTGAGGTCGTCCAGATTCCAGCTAACAAACACATGTTGAGTGGATGCAGAGCGGTTTTAGAGGACAATAATAGGTCACTTGCTTATTACAATGTGGCAGCAGGAGAGATCCTAAAACTAGACGTGGTCTGACACAAAGGAAATGCTTTTCAATCTCTGAATACTCTCTTTAAGAATATCTCTACTGATACAAGAGAATGACTATTGTTACTTATAATTGACTTAAGTTTGTTTTATCTTGGCAGCTACTTCTTATGGTTCATGGTGAAGCTCTTTCAGAGCAGTTTGGTTTCTCTTCTAAAGTTTTCAACAAGTAAACATATTGTAGTGATTTGACTTGTAAAATATCAATAAGGATGTTATATCTCATACTTTTATTCCAAATTTAGTTACTAATTCTAGAAATACCATATATTTTTTTTATCCCAAAATTGTTTGCGTGTGTTATACAAATATTCAGAACCTAATGAGATCATCTTAGCACAAGTAAAAGACATTCTTATTATCATATTATGTAAACAGAAAAAAAAAAAATACAAATAATTAGAACCAAGATAATGTTAGATGTTCAAAAAAGTGTCATCTAATATCTAATTTCTATAACTAATAACGGAAAGGTTTTTAGTGTTTAGTCATCTTCGGCCATGGCTGCATCGTCTTGATCAGCATCACCATCTCCAAAGTCATCATCTCCACCATATGGTACCACTGGAGGAGCTTCGTCTTCATACAACGGTGCATCAGGGATCTCCATGTTCTCTGTCACTTTCATCGTCTCCAGATTCTCCTCGCTGAAGAAATTGTTCAATGGCTTTGAAACCTACAACAACACCAAAATCAACACTCTTCTTTCTAAATTGACCCCAATATGTTGCAGCAAGGTTGACACTTTTAACACAAAGGAAAGAAAGTTTTTTTTTTACCTTGAATAATCGGTGTCTTTGCTCAGCACTTTCGATAAGGTTTTTCCAAAGCGGATCACTTTTCAATGTTGCAGCTGAACCAACGACCTGATAAGCAAGTTTTCATTGGAGAATGGATCCGTGAGATGGAACCAGAGAGAGGGAATATACATGCAGAAAAAGCCAGAGAATCGTTTCTATAAAAGTTTTTCTTATATGCCTTACCAATACAGAAGACTTGGCTCGTGTAATCCCCACATTCATACGCCGAGAATTAGAGAGAAAACCGATTTGTCCTTTATCGTTAGCTCTGACGCAGGAAAATATTGCAACATCCTTCTCCCTTCCCTTTTCATCAAGATGAGGAAAAAAAGAAAGAGAAATGGATGAAAACTTTGGACTGTAAGTTCATTTCTACGGTTCGAGTTCTGACATTGGTATAAAAGCAGAATCTAATGCATTTTAGTTTGTTTATGAGCACAGTTGATGTTGAACTGTGAAGAGAGTAGAATATTGACCTGGAACCCATCAACAGTGTTGATATCAACCACTTTTTCTGCTTCCGTACCAAACATCTCCTTGAACCGATCTTTGAAAGTTTTTACTTGGTAGTTATATGGCGATATAATAGCTAGCTGAGAACTTGACTTAAGCTCCGGGTACATGGTTACAAGTCTGTGGTAGATGAGAAGAACAAATTCCACCTCGTCTAGATTTACCCGAGAACCAGTTGCTCCTGGATGTTGAGACTCTTTCCCATCATGTATATCAAAAAAGCAAAATGGACCAAAGCACCGGTATCTATGCCAGTCACGAGTAGTCTGAGCTTCAATGTCAGATCCATCTTCTAGTGCCTCTTCATAGAATTGCTTTGACGGAAAGCTTCTTATCTGACATTCAGTTAAAATTGTTTGCAGTGTAAAATGAGATACAATCATTGAAGTAAGAATTAAGCTAACTATGTACAATTTTTTGGCTTGGTCAAGAATCTTGTGAAATAGCTATCCTAAGTGGATGCCAGATGAAAATATGTACCTCTGGATGCATCCGGTATTGGGTCTTCAACATTTTTACCGGATAGCCAGCCTTTTGAAGTCTCTCGAACATGCTTGTACCGTACCTTCATAATAGAAAGGAAAGACAGCAATCCAATAGTGTCAATACAATATACAAGAGAGACATAAACAGATAAAGTTTGGATGCAATGACTGGATTAAAGCACTTACCCAGAATCCTGAGCAACAGTTGAGATTACAGTAGCTGGGAGTTGTTTTGGATCCCCTACCTGGTAAAAATAGATTTGTATTAAGGATATCCATAGCTACCAAAGTTGCCTTAAACATTAATCATTCTCATAAACTTATGGTGTGTGTCGAATCATCTATCTATTTTATGTACTCTGAAACTAACTGCAATGTTGATACATGAAGGGTAACCTATTGGATCTTACCAGAAATACTTGTTTGCACCTGGTGGCCAAAGGGATAAGAGTTGCTGGCTCAACCTGGCAAAGTACACAAGAATAAATTTCATTAGCATTGAACATTGAATATAAGCACTAACAATTTCTCTACCTGCATAAACTTTTTAAGTTCATAGCTAATTTCACTTGCGTAGCAAAAACAATTACTTTTAAGATACACGACATACTCTGACTAGGAACGAAACCAGGATTAAAATTTTCCTGATACTTCAACATAGGTCAGGGCGAAGACATGACTCAATTCTATGTATTGACATGCCATGAGAACTCATGAAACTTGAGTTTAAAAAACAAAGCATCTATTTTTTTATTTCCACTTTTATAAGTAAAACCATCTGGCATTTAGAGTGTGTAAACTAAGCAAACAAATCGAGCATTATTCCATATTCTATTGGAAGGGGCTTACAGCTTGTGCAGCTTCATCTATTATAACGACATCGAAACCACGATTAGATTTAGCAAGAAGTGCAGAGCCACTGAAGCTAAGGGTAGAGAATACCTGAAAGTGCAAAAAAACAGAAGTGGATATTCAGGGAAGGAAAAAGAAAAGCTTTGAATTACATTAATACGAAAGATAATTCTCCATACAATCGCAGCCTCTTCCAAAATTGCAGTGCGGATACTATCTATATCAGTTCCTGTGGTCCCTTGTTTTGGTTTATCGATGGCAGAGCCACGCTTTTGTGTCACCTGCAAAAGGGTGTTATCAGAACAGTACCCAACCACAACCAACAGACCTTTAATTATCTGATGACAGCTAGATTCCCAGTTGAACATTCTTTAACAAAGTTAGATCAAGCAACCACAACTAAGCCAGGACGAAAGGCAATCAAAGTGTAAAAGCTACTAGATACATACGAGGTGATCCAGCGATACTGACGCAACGGAGTGATGTGCCTTGAGACCAATTCGTACTATTTTGGGTGTGTATGTCTGGGCGTTTTCGTCACGAAGACCTGAAAGTGCAGAAACCATAACATATAAGACCATTACCAACTCTCAAATAATGAAACAGTGTATTGGATACACCACATACCCGTAGTCAAAAGCCGCAACACAATCTCATCAAGTGCAGAGTTTGATGGAGCACAGACAAGTACACGTAATCTGTACTTCCGACTTGCATTAACCACCTCCGGTTTCTGAACATCAAAAGAGAATCAGATAAGTGGGGTTACTATATGACAAAGAAAGAAATGTAGGTTACCATTTGTCTCAGAATAAAAATCTTCCGACTTACCAATTCATTTCCTGAGGTTGGAAAAAAACCATCATCACCATCTTCAGGCATAATAGCATCTCGAGGGTTGACACCCAAAATCCAAGGAGAGGCTCTTCCCCAGTGATTGTATCTGCAGACAAGATATAGTGAGATATGTTCACCAAGAGGGATGTATGGTATGGACCAAACTATTGATGCAATGTAATATTATTCTAATTCCTCTCAAGTTGCAAGATTTCAAATAAAACATCACATGATAGAGATAATACTAAATTTTCCAATCATTATGAACACACATCTGGGTATGCGAGAACTGAGTATCGAAATATTAAAAAGATCTTAAATGGGAGCAAAACCATACTTCTCCTGGATGGTCATCTGAATACCACGCTTCACTTCATGCTCTGTACCCCTATTATGGAAAAAATGGAAATTCAGAATGCAAAGCGTATCTACAATCTTACTTGGAGCTGCACATAGTTAAGTGAGTGTGAAAAGGATAGCATGTAAGAAATTCATACTTAGACTGGACTCTTGCTGGAGTGGCATGCATAATAGCACCAAGAATGCTAAGAATCGTCTGAGTTTTCCCAGTACCTGGAGGACCCTAAAGAAGGATAGACTAATTAGTATTCAAATCATAGGTTAATTCATTGGCTTTTCAATGCAATTTGGAAAACAAGTCTGCTATATCCCTATTGACAAAGAAGTTTCTAATATCCATGTAGTCAACAAGACCCAAATATTGCCAACTTAGAATAATTTTGGTTTTCTGTTTTATATATCATCTACATACCTTTTAAAGGCAATCTTGAGAGTCAAACAGAAAGACATTGAGTGCTAGCTCAGTAAGCATGCTGGAGAATTTTAATTTCAAGTCAATTGAGGGCATTTGCATAGAAAATTATTGTGTGTTTGAAATTCAATCTTAACATGAAAAAGCTAAGTAATATGTCAACCTAAAAACAAAAAACAAAACAAGTTAAGTGCAGAAGTCAACCTGTATTAAGACAAAGGATTTTCTTGATAGACCAACCTGCAAAATAATATTTTGAAACGAAGAGCCCAAATCTGTGTTAGGGAAACTGTCAACGTCTCTAAGGAAAGAAATTACATGGCTAGACTTACATCAATTGCCTCCTTTTGGGATTTGTTGAGAGTTTCGTTAAAGAATTCATTCAGAGGTCCAGATATTTTCCATGCCTCATCTCCAAAACCACAAGATTTTTCTGCTGCAGTGAAGATTAAATCCTTGAAAGGGAGTGAACTAACTGATCGTAGTGCTATATATTCCCGAATAATGGTTGATAAACCACATAACTACAAAATTAACAAACCATCCATGAAAGACGCTGTATCAAAGAAGGGAACTATATTCTATCTAGAAAGGATATGTATCAAGTCAACAACAGTCGCTTAAGTTTATGCAACAGAAATTAAAAAAATCAGATTCTAACTAGTATTAAAGTATAACACAACCTAAAACTAGACCACATTATTAAGGCCTATTATCCAATTTATGAAAAACAAATGATCTATATAACTATTCATAGTTGCTGTGTCATAACAACTGACCTTTAAACTGAATACCCTTTTGTCTATAGGGCTGGCAGATGATGTAATAAGAGAACGCATATTTGAAAGCGCTTGGATAAATGACTTTGTTCTAGAGGATTTAGTATTTTTGGTTATCTGCACAATGTCTTCAGCTAAATACATCCGAAGACGAAGAAGATTATTTTGACGATGTTCCACTACAGCAAACCCATAAGATGAAGGAAATGAATTCCCTTTAACCTGCAAAACTTAATCTCTAAGTGAATCCAACATTCGATAATGACTTTTATACAAGAAAGTACAGAATCAGAAATAAAAGTCATACAACACCTTGGAAAATTAAACAATAACAAAGGAATAGTATATGTACCTCTTCTTTTGATAGCAATAACAGATCATTTTGAGCAAGATATTCATCCTCCTCATGTTCGTATGTGACTAGCAGAAAGTGAAACCCTTCACCCTCGTTGCACTCCATTACCAACCTCATTTTACACACCGATGCTAAGAGGAAAAAAGACAGAAAAGTCATTTCCACAACCAGAACCAAATATGTTAAGAACTAGTTATCTAAACATAAAATCTTACTACAAGTATACAAATTTAGTTCTAATAGATGGACAAAAGTAATCAGAAAAAAGAAGCCAATTATAAACAGCATTAGATAAATGTATATAAGTATCATGTATCTAACCTTCTTCACCATCTTGATTCTGCAAAATTTGAGCTTTAACTTCCTCAAAGAGCAATGGTTCAAAAGTCTCGAAATAATCATCAACATCTTTATAAGTATTCTTTACAACATTCAACTTCTCTTTAGAATCCTTTCTATTTTTTCTCTGCATTACATAAAATAGAGTAAGCTAAATGAAACCGATGAAAACGAATATTTGTATGATCATGAAGTACCTCATTCTCTTTAGTAAGCTGTTTATAGTCCCAACCCAAAATAATGTTATAGAAACGAGTAACAGCTGAGGCTTCTTCTTCTTGAAGCTTGCCATTGTCGATAGCCATTACACACTAATCTCTCTCAACTCCAAATTCACCTCCACGGATTCTCTACATGAACATGTATCAAACAAAACATTAGCCATAACAAAACAAAACTGAGAAAGAAAGTTATAAATGCAAGCATAAGCATAATGTGGTGATTGTATAATCAGTAAACTAAATTGTTATCATCTTTTTTAATTATATAGTCTATGGAATTCAAAAGCAGATACATGAATATCGAAAACTGTGGCACATAATTGAAGCTTGCTTTTTCGAAATCGAATTACTATGCCTCAACCTAATCAAATTACCAACAGAGAAACCCAATTTGAATTTACAGATATGAGTCGAGAAGTTATGTCTAGAGGAAGCAATTGGAGTCTATAAAGGCGGTGTAATCAGAGCACTGGAGAGAGGAATTTACCAGTCGGAGAAAAGACGGCGGTGTTGCTGTAACCACCGGGAAAAGGGTTTTAGGACTCAATGAATGAATCTTCTTTATTTCTTTCTCTCCTTTTTTAAAAAATATATTATTTTTCCTTTTACTTACTCTTTTTTTTTTATTAAAACATTTAAGATAATTTTGGTGGTGGCCCGAAAAAAAATACTAGGCCCAGTTTACGGATCCTATAAATTTTCTTTTAATTTTTAAAATTAGTTTCTTTCCTTTTAGGGCTAATTTCGAATTAGTTTATCTTTCCTTTTATTTTGGCAAAAATTTATTTTTACTTTTCTTTCGATTTATTTTTATCCAAAAAGTATACAGATATTTTTTCCGATTTTTTTTTATTAAAAGGATTTTCTTGAATTTTTTTTAAAATTACAATTATAATAAGCTTTAATAATGTGGTTTAGTTCTAAATTACTCATATTGAGTTTGCATTATGTCTAAAAGTCCAAGAACCTTAAAAAAAAAAACAGTAAAAAAATGTAAAATTTTTTAAAAATTGTTTTAAGTAGATAAACATAATACTAAGAGTTATAACTTAGTATAACAAATTTACCATATTTGATATATTTCATTGAGCCAAGAAAATTGTCAGACGCTCTTGAACAACCGTATTTGTGTCTCTATGGCTCGATTAGTCTAACACAATTCTCCATAATGGGACTCCTCTTTACACTGCAAATTCTCAGAAAACATCAATATCAGTAGGCTCATTGAATGAGTTATTGTTTAAATTCCGACCTTGCCACAGTACTTATGTTCACATCCTGTACATGTTAGCTCATAAACGATATCATGTTCTCCGATTGGATCCGAGTTCACACATATTGGGCATTTATAGATCATCTGCAAAGACAAAAAAATATAAAATTTGGAATCACATATGTAACACTACGAAAGAGAATTCTATATAAACGAAAAATCTACTCGAGCAGTTCGATTTACCAAAACCGGAATTGCATGTAAGATTATTCATTCTTGTTCTTTAATGATTACTCTTATATCAAGCTAATGAGCTTTTCTTTTTGGTGTTTTTATTATATATTTCACAAGTAAATTAGTATATGTTATTCTTTCTTTCATTTTTTGTTGTTAATTTTTTCTTTTGGATTATGAAAACAAAATTCAATTTGTTTTTGAAATACACCCACAAATATATGTAAATATATTTTTTTGTCTTTTTGTTACTTTTTCTTTTTGGTTAAAGAAAAAAAAGTTAATTTTTGATGCGTTATTTAGAAAACAATATTTTAGCAAAAATAAATAGTGAATAAATCTTATAGAAAATTAAAAGTAAAAAGATTGCTAGCTAAACGACATATCGTAGAATACGTGGTCACACGTATTGTGTAATAGACGGGTTATAATCTAGTTAATAATAAATAAAAAGACGATTTGGTAAATGGATTCCACTAAAAAAATGTCCTTTATTATTATTTACATGAACTTTAATAGTAGTTTCAATCATAATTACATATTGTTTATTATTAATTAAACCCAATTCAACTTGTAATCCTGGAAGCCTTGAAACGGTTTAGTAGTTTCTGATGGTGCTACTGCTGCAAGGCGTACACGCAAGATCAACAGTCGAGATACAAACGCGTAGAACTTCGTGAACAACTCCTCGTTGAAGCACTCGTAGAACCGTCTCTTCTTTCCCTGTTACAACATCGACTAGAGAGACCTGACGCGACACAATTTCATCTCTCATTCGTCTTCCACCTGACCATCGACCTAACGTCAACCATTTCACCCAAACTAGCTGCTCTGAGATTCCACATCGCCTTAGCGCATCCAAGATTTGCTCTCGCTATAGAAAAATAATGTTATAGAAGTTGCGAAACGAAAGATGGGATATTACGAAAGGCGGGTTTTTCCTTATGGAATAAACAACTAACCAACGGTTTCAAGTGTTGTATGCAGTAGATGAGTCCAATGAGGTTGAGCAGCACACTCAAGTTTGGTTTGAAGAGAAATAACTCCACATCTTGAAATCCCAACCGCATCGAGCTCATGGTTTCAACTGCCTGCAGATATTTACCGGCCTCTAGAGACAACGTAGCAGGACATTTAGTCACATATGTAATCACCTCGGAAGCTCTAGATGCCATTTTCTTGTGCTGCATCACGTAAAATCTTCTCCATTCCTACAAAATGTTCAGGATACAGTAATCATGAATCCATAATAGACCTCACTGCAATCAAAGTTACATAGAACTTCAGTCTCTGCCACCATAACAAAAACATAACCCAAATAAGAAACTAGCAAAGTCTACTTGTAAGTTGAGCTATATAAACGATCATCATCATGTCCAATTCAAACTATAACCTCTTCACACAAAATAGTCAAGTCTCTTGTAAATCTCATTAAGGTATCCACAAAAACAGTAGATAACATAAAACTCTTTTCTAAAATAACAGCAGCACCTTCATATGTCTCAGTAATTTATTTCTCCAAGACTGAACAATTGATAAATATCTCAACTAAAAAACTGTTCTTTACAATCTCAAATCAAGCACCATCCATCTAATAACCAATTGATCCAATCAACAAACAAACTCATCACCAGACTTTAAGAATGACCAAAATCTAAACAACTCAGAAACAAGAATCCATGGTAAGGTCTCATTTTTCTACCTGAGAATTTTCATTGGTTTGGGCTTGAGGAAACTGAGTATTGTCTCCATCAAATGAGGACAACAAGGGCCATCTTTGCCTAAACAGAGGTTCCCACAAGATATCAGAACCACATAGCTCTCTCCAAAACCTAGAACAGCTACTGAGTGCACAAAGATCAATCACCTATCCATCAAACAAGACACAATTTATCAAGAACTAGCCTCAGAATCAAGTTCACAAAATCCAAAAGAAATTGAGCAAAAAAACCTGAAGAGAAGAGCTGATCTTCAGGATTATGTCTTGAGGGAGAGAGCTACAAGAAAACCGAATTGAATTCATATTTTTTTTTTATCAAATCTGAAACTTTCTTTGATGTGTTTGGTTTCTAAAGAGAACACGTTACCATATGACTAATTACGATGTGAAGGAGATGATGATGATGATGACGATGAACTCACCACATAAAAAATACCTTCTTGATGTTGACTTAAACAACAAGAGACAAATTTAACCCAGCAGACCAAAAAATGTCAATATTTCGTTGGTTTCTAACATATGAACTTCAAAGATAGCTTGTACCCAGATGAGATTTATATGTCTAATCTCATAAGAACTCATCTTCTGCAGAGGATCACCAAGAAAAAGCTCTTCTTTGGTACAATGTTGGTGTATTGTGAATGCCCGTAAGTTGTTCGATGATATGCCTGAGAGAAAGTAAGGTGATAACTCGAAGAAAGCACATGATCTGCAAAAGTTTGATGCGTAAGCAAAACGGATTTAGGCAGAGAAGTTCGACCCAAAAAAAGATTATTGGGGCATTCCGAGAATTGAACTCGGGACCTCTCGCACCCTAAGCGAGAATCATACCACTAGACCAAATGCCCAATGACGAGAAGCTTGAATTATGTTATCTTAGTAATTAAATGAAAATAATGATAAAGAACATGCACGCATTTACGATTTTTGTATACACAAGGATCATAATTGCATCTTTTGAGCCATTGACTTATCATAAAACTGTCAAATGTCTTCTAATTCTATTACCTTGAGGAGTGATTAAAAGCATAGAAATATTTCTTTAGAAAACATCTCTTACTAATAAAAAGAACTAATTGAGGCCTCTTAGGCCATCCACATCAGCAATGGAGAGGTTTTCTAAGAGGATGCCACGTCAGCAAACATATGAAGTCAGATTGAAAAGCGAATGACGACGATTTGCATTTTCGTTTGTTTGTTTATGGGCCCATTTCAAAGCCCATCAAAAAGAAACATTAAAACGTCGCTGTAGCACTACATCTTCAATGGACCCATAATGAGTTAATGACATTGACCAACCAAAACCTTTCTTCTTCCTCTCCTTCATCAGTTAAAGCACTCGCACGTTTGCAGATCTGTATTTTCAAGTCATTTGTTAAGGCATTAACTTTTTATCTCCTAAGATCTCACTCTAAATTGTCCTTTTCTCTCCCTTCTTCTCTCTCCTACAACAGTCTTCTTCACAAACAGAAATCTGAATCGGATCGAATAATTCGAAATTGGTAGCCGGAAGAGTGCGGGAACGCTCTACATCCTAGGTACATCACTTCCTCTCATCCCTTTCCCTGCAAAATCTCTTTTTTTCCCTTTGTATTTACACACATATACGTTCTAACCCTTCGACTTCTATTTGTGTCGAGCAATGGTTAGGAGGAACCTGTGACACTATACAAAAAAAAAACAGCAACAAAGCCGTTAATCGAGCTGGTAGCTGGTTCTGTGACACATGGTTATAACTTATAAGCAATCCTCAAAAGGTACATCGATTCTCTTCGTTTCTCTTAAGGATACATCGATTGTCTATACATTTATGCTTTCTTTTTGTTTTTTTGGGTTTTTTCCCCCACATTCCTACCTAAATTGTGTTTCATGTGTTTCTGTTACCCGCCTTCTTATTATACAAATACGTTATTTAGGTCTAAGCTTTGGATCCCTCGATGGAACAAAGAATAACCCAATGGCTTCACTCCCCAAATCAACAATTTCAGAAATTCAATCGTCCAAAGGTTAGATCATCAGTTTTTGTATTCTTCTTCAATCTCCCCTAAGTACATATTTGGACGTTTTCTCCACCACCTTTTTCTTATTTGTTTCACGGTTTCAGATTCCATATATGAGCAGAGGATATCAAGAGTGTTCTTCAGTTCAACCTTAGTCATAAGAGCATTGAATCCTTGACATACAAAGAGGACGATGTTTTAACGTAGATACCCGCACATCTCTGTTGGAAAAAAAAAAGGTTTCTTCTCTTTTCCTCTTTTATGCAACGTCAAGTTGTACAAGTATCGTTATATTTAAACGTTTTTATAGAGTTGAACCCTCTACTTTCTCATACATTGCCGTCTTAGTTGATCCAACGGGTTGATTGATGCCATTTTTAACACTCTTGCGTTCTTGTATAAAACTCAACAACATTTGATAGAAAAAAATCGCGTTATTGTACAATGTGTTTAGTGACCGGCTTTGTTTTGTGTTAAAATATTTTAGAGTGTTATTGTACAAAGTGTTTAGTGACCAGCTTTGTTAGTCGTGTATATTGGTTCAGTAAACAAACAAGCAAAGGTTATTAGAATGATAAATGTCCTATGCTTTATTCGCTTAACAAACAATCAAGAATATTAGAATATTGATAAAAAAAAAACAAAAAAAAACAATTACGATTATTAGAGTACTGGTGTTTCCTTGGAGATTCCAATTATTATACATAATTAATTGTTCTAACATACAATTTCAAGTATATGATATCAACTTATAAAAATTTGGTAATTTGTTTTATCTACCTAATAATTCTTTTTGGATATGTTAATCTATCATGTAATTGAGTTAGTCATCATATATTTGGTAAATTATATCAATTTGTTTTTAAAATGTCAACTTGGTAGCTTCCCCACCTTTCTTTTCTTAAAGTAGAAAAAAATGCCTCTACATTAACTTGGTAGCTTACTCAACTATGTTTACTAACTCAAAATTTCAAATGTTAAATATATACATATCCGGGCGTAGCCCGGAGTAACCCCTAGTATATGAAAAAGCATTACTTGCTGATAAATGAGTTATGCCAAGACTACTTACAAAATAGACTCACTAACGTAGAATATTAAGGTAAAAGATCTTACTGAAAATTTCATAAAAATATACTACCAATTTTTTTATTTTCATAACCATACACAAACTTTTTGTGTGTATAGAAAAATATATGAACTATTTTTTTACTCATTTTAAACGCAGAGTTTGAACTGTATACTCAGTTTGCAGCATAAACGAAACTATTACTTTAATGTACTAACTAATGAAAAAAAATACAATGCATTAATAAGAATTACAAATAATTTTAAAAATTTTTCATAATATGTATAAATTTAACAACATCAAAGAAAGTTCAAAAGATACATATTAATTAATTTCAAATGACTTAATATATTAGTAAATATAAAAATTATTTATATTACAATTAATTCTGAAATAATAGGCCTTTTTATTTAGGTTATCTTTATAAATTGAATGTGTTTTGTTATGGCAAAACACATAATAGTCAAAATTACATTTGGTCAATACTTTAATAGATTTTACATCTGTGTATATTGTTCGTATATGATATGGAAATTAATATATATATATATATAAGCTAATATACAATTGTGAAATTAAAACAAAGAACAATTTTTGCCTTAAGAACAGCTATAGAACTTAATAAAATTAAATATAATAGAATATATTTAGAAGCAAAAAAGAAACACACAAATAAGTTTCCTACTTTATAATTAAAAGAGTTGAATACATTAAATATCAAAATAAGAAATGAATTAGTTTTCTTCATTTTAACTTCTTATCATTTGTATCAAGAACTTTTCCTATGTACAACAGTTGTCTATATAAGTCATATATTTTTGTACATTAACTGATAATTTTAGTTAACAAATTGCATTACATGTCTAAAGTTCTCTTCTTTTCAATATTTTACTTGATAAACTGTAGGTTTCATAAGATATCTTAGAGAACGTTAAACTAGTGTTTGTTATTTAGAGTTTGATTGTGATGGGTTGGTGGTGGAAGATGTCACGAAGAAACACGTTTGACAAGTAGAATGACTTATATTTTATACATAACTACATATATATGGAGTTTAAATAAAAAATTTATGTTATATATTTTTCTTATGATATTACAATGTTTTTTTTTCTTAAAATTTGTTTAGTGTTACTTTGGATGCTGAGTTGAAGATCGGGATATATTGTGAAAATTGCGTAAAGAAAATCAGAAAAATTATTGGCAAATTAAAAGGCAAGAAAATATATATGTATTCACAATATATCTATACATATTTATTTGATGGCAATATAGTATTTATATGTTGTGATAATCTTTTTTAATTGATATATCATTGTTAGGAGTTGAAGAATGTATATCAGATAGGCGTAATCAAAAAATTATGGTTGCTGGTAAGTTTGATTTGGATAAGGTGTTGAGGATTATCAAGAAACAAACTGGTAAAGATGCAGAAATTTTGGAGATGACAAAGAAATCTGATATGGTTCATACAGAAGATGATGAATCTGACACAGATTAGACACATGAAGGACATGAAATAGTTATAGAGAATAATGAAAAATCTTGTTTAGGTAAAATAATTTTAATAAAACAAAATATAAATATAAATAACTTTTTATTCAAATAAAATTAAAATTATTGCCACATCATTTAAAATTAATGATATATTATTGGAAAGGTAAAATTAGAATTTTATTTTTGTTATAAAACCGTAAGTATGAAAATAACAACGTTTTATTTTTATAGGTATTAAATCGTATATTTTAATTATTATTTGTTTTTTCTTCCAACAAAAAAATTTGGGTATTAAACGTCCAAATAAAAAAAAAACCAAGATTTTTTCGGGTTTTTTCCCTAAAAACTAGTGTCCAGTTCGTCTCTCTTTGTGACACCAGGCGATAAGCAGATCTGATTTTGATATCATGGAAGAGACAAGTTTTAGATACAATTCCAACAACATTAAATTTCAGTTTATTAATCAAAGTTATGCCAAAGGCATTATGAAGTTTCACCGAGAAGATGATAGCCGAGAAGATGATAGCCCGTAAGACTTCCGTTTGGAAAGCATGGTCACTTTTACTCTTTCATTAAAATTGTGTTTAATTTTCTTTATTTAAAATAATGGTTGTATTTGATTTGTTTCTGTATTGTGTAAACTTATTATGATATCATATATACATTTTCCTTTAAAAAAACAAAAATTGAATTAAATAATATTCCCAAGTTTAAAGAAAAACAAATTAGAAAGCATGAAAATTTTATATAAGAAAATAATTATTTGTAAAATTCAAGATTGAATTGGGAATATTTGATATATAATTACAAAGATATATTAAAATTTAATTTATTAAGAAACAAATGCTTATAAAATAATTAGAAAATCAGATGTAATTAAATATTCATAAGATAAATTTCCTTATGCAAAAAAAATGTGAAAAGAAGGCTTATAATATATAAAACTATACAAATCATATTTGGCATTAATCAATAATTGGGTAATCTATTATGTATTTCTTTTTTTCACTATTTCAAAAAAATATTGTCTGTCTTTGGTTTGTAATATATGTTAAAAATATATATTATAATTTTTCTATGTGTGCCAAATATGTGTGAATGTATGAGTATATAAAGTGTTTTAGGTTGTCGATAAATGATCCATCTTATTTTTTTTCTTTGGTAGCTCAAGTTTTGAAAAAATGGGTTGTTGCTTACCTCTTTTACCAAAAAAAAGTCCTAAAAAGTAAGTGTAATTTATATTCTTACGCATGTTAATGAAAATTCTCTTGGTAACTCACTAATTCTTCTTCGATATGTGATCTAGTGTCGAATTCAAGATGCCGAAGTGTAGCATATGCGAGAGAGCTATGACTGATGCTATATCCAAATTCAGAGGTAGAATAATATCTATAGTCATAGTTTAGGTGTATATAATTGATAGTAATATGAAGGTACATATATATGCATGCATGTTGTAATTTGTTTTGTATGATTATTAGGAGTTACAATATGTGTGGTGGATAAAGAGAATCAAAAGATTAAGGCCATTGGAAGTTTTAATCAGGAGTTGTTGTTGAAAAAACTCATGAAAGTAATTCAAGAATTGGAGATTCATGATGGGGAAAATGATAAGAATGATGAATCTGAAATAAATCAAAAAAATGAAGAGAAACTTAAATTAATTCCGAAGAAACGTGAAGAATCTAAAATGGTTGAAGAAGAGATTGCAAAGGCCAAGAAGAAAATTGATCCAAATAGTGATGAGCATAAACAAATAGAGAAAATTATGATGTTCAATGAAGAAAATACCAACGCTAGATGTACTATTTCGTAATGTGTAGTTTGTCAAATAGACCTTTTTACAAAGGTTTTTTTTTGGCATTAAGTTTCATATCATTTCAAATTCAAATCTTCACATTTCTCCCCATTTTGTAGTTTGAATAAAATTATTATGTATTCCCTTTGTTTTTTAGTTGTATTTTTTAAAGTATTCACATATTTTTAATAAAAATAATTAACTTTATCAATTCTTATTAATTTTCTATGGATTAAATTTATCTATTTACTTAAGATATACATTATAATATGTATTTATTTGGTGAAGATAAATTTATATATAATTGATTACATTCATCTTTATGAAAGAAAAAAAAAACAATCCTAAATTCATCTTTCTTAGTGAAAGAGGAAGTATATCAGCTAAGAACATAATTAAGGTACTTTATCTTTTTTTGGTTGAAATAATTAAGGTACTTTATCTTTTTTTTTTCAATTTAATTATGATTACACCATCTTAAATTTATTTGGTACAGATAAATTCCAAAGTAAAATATAAATTTATAAGTAAAATTAAATACATTCATCTTTATGAAAGAAAAATATAATCCTAAGCATCTTATTTAGTGAAAGAGGAAATAATAGACAAGAGAACTCTCTTTTATAGATAGAGTCTTTCAATAACTTAAGTCCTCAGAGTTGGGGATTTTTTTTTTTTTTTTGTAAATGTACTTGTATCCAATCTTTTTAAACCGGATTCGAATGTAAACCAGAACGTGGTTCGGATCACCGGATTGGTATGTTCGATCGCCAGTCAATGAGTTTTTACCAGTCCGACCGGGCCATATAGGACCAGGTTTAAAAACACTGCTAGTACCAAAGACATCTCACACAATGGTATGAAAGATACACAGAAATGTAATTGATTTTTACAAGATGTTAGATGATTATTGTACAACTCGATCTCCATCACACCCCTAACCAAAAATTACAAAACAAATACCAGTTTTATCATAATACTAATCTTTGCACAACCTTTACCTTTGTCTTTCTCTTCACGATCTTAGTAAATATATAGCTGTTGCCAAAGGACTTTTCGGCGGGAATTTTGATCAGTACTTAGAAGAAACCTTGGGTTGCATTTAGAGTGTTTGTATATATATGTTTTAGCCAACCGATTCTTGCTCTCAAAACAGAGCTTCCCTTGGTGCACCGATTAAGTTAAGTGCGGTTGCTGCAATGTGAGATGGCATGAGTCCAGCTTCAGCTAGTTGATCAGCTGGTGCACCATGATCAATGTACCGATCAGGCAGTACCATTGGTCTCCACTGTATATAAAGTTGCGAATTAGAAACCATAGATTTTGAAAAGACAGCAATTTATTTAGAGAATTTCTGGAAGTAGTAAGTAACCTTGAGTTTGCCATCGAGAAGACCATCGAGAGCAAGAAACTGAACAACGTGCGATCCAAACCCTCCAATCGAACCTTCTTCAACCGTGATGAGAACCTCATGCGACTTAGCTAAGCTGCGAATGAGAGCACGGTCCAATGGCTTGCAAAATCGTGCATCTGCTACAGTTACGTTTAATCCGCGTTCTTCGAGCATTACAGCCGCTCCTAAACAGCTCTGAACTGCTGACCCATAACCCAACAGCGCAACCCTCTCTCCTTCCTTTAAAATCCTACCTTTCCCAATCTGAAATACACCCAAAGAGATTTTCTATCTCAAAATGATGAAGGAAGAGAGACCAAATTTGAGAAGATCAGGATAAGTTATACCTCAATTGGAACACCTTTGTTTCCAGGAGGTAATGCAACTCCAATACCATTACCTCTAGGGTAACGGAAACAAGAAGGACGATCATCAATCGCAGCAGCAGTTGCAACCATGTTAAAGAGATCTGCTTCATCTGATGGAGCCATCACAATCATGTTAGGAAGACAAGCCATAAATGTCACATCAAAAGCTCCACAATGTGTCGGACCATCAGCTCCAACAAGTCCAGCTCTATCCATCGCAAATCTCACCGGTAATTTTTGCAAATCGACATCATGTACAACCTACAGAGAAGGCCACCATGTACTCTATTAGTTTCTAACATGTTTCATTAGAAAGTAAAATGATTAAGATGTTGAACTTGCCTGGTCATAAGCACGCTGCATGAAGGATGAATAGATTGCACAGAAGGGCTTAAGGCCTTCACAGGCTAAACCCGCAGCAAAAGTAACTGCGTGTTGTTCCGCTATTCCGACATCGAAACATCTTGTTGGGAAGCGACGTTGAAAGAGATTTAACCCGGTCCCACCTCCCATGGCTGCATGAATCGCAACCACATCTTTGTCTACCTCTGCTTCTGCCACTAATGCCTCCGCAAAGTAAGTAGTGTAAGCTTGAGTCTTATTAGTACTTTTGAACTGTTTACCCGTCGCTGGATCGAATTTCACAACACCTGAAAGAAAAATAATCAATATATATAATATCCCACTGCTTAGGAACTAAAGAAAACGTTATCTATTTAACTTGTTTTACCATGGTATTTGTCATCAGCTCTCTCCGCGTAAGGGTAACCGCGACCTTTCTCCGTCACCACATGAATAAGTACTGGTCCTGTGGTTCTGGTACTCTTAACTTCTTTAAGAATGGCTACCAAATCATCTATGTTGTGCCCATCAACTGGACCAATATAGTAAAGACCGAGTTCTTCAAAAAGTGACGATCCAGTCCCGCTTATCATTCCTCGAGCATACTCATCTACCTTAGCAGCCAATTGGTGCATTGGCCCGCCTATTTGCTTCGTCATACCCTATACGCAACAAGAGCTAAAACTCTTATCAACTCCATAAAAGACCAGGATTCTTTACCATCCTAGAAAAGAAATGCAATAAACTTGCCTTTGCGACTTCTCTCAACTCCCTGAGAGCCGGGTTAGACTGTAACCGACTAAGAGCACTGCTCAATGCTCCAACAGGTGGACTTGGTCCATCCAAAGTAGCTGTAGGTAATGAGACTTGCTTGTTGTCATTAAGAATCACAATCATATCAGAGTCAAGATAGCCTGCGTTGTTCATGGCTTCATAAGCCTGCCCTGCCGTCATTGCACCATCACCAATCACAGCAACCACATTGTTGTTCTTCCCCTTCAAATCCCGTCCAACAGCCATTCCTATAAAACCCAAATTTCTGATTCAGTTTTGTAGTCTTATTACAGTTTACTGTCTAAACACAACAACACAAGGCAAGACACCAAAGGGATTGACTGGATTACCTAAACCAGCAGATATTGTGGTTGAGCTGTGTCCAGTACCAAAGCAATCATGTTCGCTCTCTCCTCGCTTCGTGAAACCGGATAGACCATTGGTTTGCCTCATTGTAGGCATCTTTCCTCTTCTCCCAGTAAGAATCTTATGAGGATAAGACTGATGACCAACATCCCAAAGAATCTTATCCTGTGGAGTATTGAAAATGTAATGAAGAGCCACAGTAAGCTCCACAACACCAAGACTCGACCCCAAATGTCCACCGGTTTTCGACACATTAAAGATCACATCTGATCTCAGCTCATCAGAAAGTTGCTTCAGTTCCTGAAATAAGTTACCAAATCCATCAATTTGAGACATTATTCTGTAAGAAAGCATCAAAGCTTGAATTTTTACCTTGACAGAAAGATTTTTCATGTGAATTGGGTAGTTAATAGTGTCAAGTAATGGAGTTGGTGGTCTGTTTGCATAATATTCACCCTTCTCTGCAAGTGAAGCATTCACTTTTGCTCTTCTGCTTGTCTGTACACAACACAAACCCAAATCACAACACAAAATTATTGGACTAATTTCACTAAATTCTACACAAATTTCAATAAACTAACATATAAAAAGGAGTCAAATTTGTTTGACTTCGTCAAAAACAAAGTTAACCCATTATTATATTCAAGATTTCAACAAATGGGCAAGCTACAAAATCTCACAGTTCTTGAATCAAGTTCCATCGATGAAGCAGAGAAGAGAGAAGTGAACTTACATGGGAATTGTTGTTGGGTCTGAGACATGGTGATGGGAGATCTGGAACCAAAGATCGAGAAGAAGACAAAGAAGTTGATTTACAAGAATCTGTTGAAACTCCTCCTTTGGTTATTATGTAAGAAGGAAAAGCAAATGCAGATGAAGCCATTAAAAAAAAGTTGAAAACTTTGGGAATGTAAGTAAGTAATATAACGATTGATGGAGAATAAAATTTTAGGGAATTTGAGGTTATCAAAAACAGTGAAACAAATGAATAAAAACGCACTTTAGAATCCACTAAAAATGAAAGTGTGTGTTAAATGTGGTGGTGGTGACAATGGTGGTGGTGGAGAGTTGAAGAAGCAAAGATGGAGACTTTTGTTTTTTTTATTTAAAAGGGTGATGAAATAAAACGACAAGAAAGATAACTTCATGGATCATGAATTTTATGTAACGGTGTTGATGATATTAAAAAAGCTTGAAAGATATTGAGATGGTTCGTCATCCGCAGAGAACTTGAGATTTTGGTTGGGCCACGTCAACTATGAAATCCAAGTTTTGGATAGATATTGATGATATGTATATGTTAGTACATGTGTATATTTGGTGTTTAATTCATTTATAAGTTCTTTGAAAGTATAGGAAAAAATAAATAAATAAATAAAAAGAAAGATATTCACCCATTTTACTAGACAGATGTACCAGAGACTAGAAAGGTAACTATAATCATTTTGAAGTAAAAAGAAATGAAATTTAAAAGGATTATAGAAGAATTGTAATTTGATATAAAGAATTTACAATTTTAGCATTTGTTGATAAAGAAAAAAATCTTTAGAATCTTTGGTAAATTTGGAATTGTATATTTCTATACAGAAAAAAAAATCTTATTTCTTAATATAGATATATATAAACATTATTATATTATATTATATTAAGGAGTATATTAATATATATATATATATATATTAACATTATTATTTTAAATTATATTTCATATTACACGATTAGGAGCGATAATGACTTTGAGGGGTTATTGGTTCATGGATTTATAAGGAATTAGAAATCCAAACAAAAATCATTTGTTATTCAATCATTGATTTTAAAATCCTAATTAAAATCATGTGTTATTGGTTCTATGATTTATAAATACTAGTTAAAATCATATGTTATTCGTTAGTCATTTGTTTTTGGATTTGAGAATCTAAATTATGTTTTAAATGGATTTGAATGGAATTGAAAGAGAAAAATAGAAAGATTCAAATCCATGGGTAAACACATGTTATTTCAAAATCCATATATCTTGATTTTATAATTAATAGAGATTTTCAAATCCTATATGGATTTACAAATTAATAAACCAATAACACCTCCTAATTAGTGTAATGATTTGTGTTAGTATTATTGCTCTTGTTACATGCCTTAATAAAGTTTAATATCATATTAAACAACTACATAGATTTAAATACTCCTTAATGTTTGACATCCTTGATTATTGGGTTTCAATTGAGTCAATATGAATAAACAAAACTTAGTTGATGATGACAATTCCATCACAAAAAGAAAAACTGTAATCATGCGGGTCATTTTCTAATATATCATATTTATTAAGAAAATGGCATGTTATGTTTCTTAAAATGTTATATTTCAGAAATGATATGTTAGTTTTAAGGTGATTTTTTGATTACCAAGCTTGATATATATACCCTAACTAGATAAGTAACCCGCACCTTGTGCGGGGAGAAATAATTAGTAAATAAATTTAACATTGGGGTTAATTATATAATCTATTGTAATGACCAAAATGTGTAATGACTTTAGATTTTATATGGAAATATGAATCGTCTCTAAAATGATGATTATTTTGATATTATAACTTATTATTGATAGGATAAATAATTCACTTAAAATTAGAATTACGATTTTTATGTATTGTTTGTGAATTTGTCTGTGTTTTGATTCAGAAACAAAGTATATGTGATTGTGATTTTTTGAATCATTGTGGATGAAGATGATATTGGCACTCTATTTATAGGAAAATATGGTTTTGGAATTATTTTTTTTTTGATTTTTTACAGATTTATTGTTGTGGTTGCATTTATTTAAAATTTTGTTTTGAAAACAGATTAATTTTAAAACCAAAATGAATATATTTAGTGATTGTTAATTTCGTTTTGAAAACAAATTAATTGGAAGAACAATACATATAAATGAATTTATTATATACTTATATTATTTGATGGAGGCATGGAGCTGTGCTTATGGCTCGTTCGGTGTTAATAATATTACCATAATCTCAACAACTATTTTCTAAAGTGGATATACGGAATAGATCTAAGATTAAAACTATAATAGCATTGAAAACACAGATCTTCTGTTAGGATTTATTTATTTAAAATTAATAAATCAAATTAAGCACTGAATTCGAACCTTAGTGCTAGCGTAAATAAATCCAAGAAGTATTCTAGTTTAAATTAAACCTAATGGGGTTTTTTAAAACACATAAATGATTATTTTAATCATAATGAGTTTTACTTAAAATAAATTACTTACAACATAGTATCCCTAATACAAATATATATATATATATATATATATATATATATATATATATATATATATTAATATCTTCAAATACAAAAATATACTATATAGTGTTTTAGTTAATTTGAAAACGAAAATAACAGTAGTTTATTTGAATATTCATATGAAGTTGTACTATTACTTTCTTAATACACTAATAATCACTTATGACCAATATTAAATACAAAAATATGTTAAATAGTGTTTTAATTAATTTGGAAAACAAACGAAAATAAAAGTAGTTTATTTGAAATAATAATTATGTAAAGATTAATTGCTACTTGAAATAATAAAAGTAGTTTTTTAATTTATGTGATATATGTAATGTATGAGACTAATGGCAAATTCTGTAAATAGTCTAATAGAAGTTGGGTAATTATTTAAATAGGAGCCAAATCATTGTGAGAGCGACACATCAGCGTGGGAATCTTGTTAATAACACATCATGGTAAGGTTTATTTTTTAGAATGTTTCTCTATTAATATATAGGGGATAAATAACTGTCGTAAAGAGGTGTGGGTTTTGGTCAGTGGATACTCAAAGAAATGCAAGTTGGATTTGGAAATTTATTTTAGGTCTGAGGCCTATGGCAAAAGCTCTCATGGGTTGCCGTTTTGCAACAGTCGTATAGCCAGCTTTTGGTTTGATAATATATCTCTTCTTGAGATCCTATGGGATATCTTTAAAAGCTCTGGTATGTGTCGGCTTGGCTTTCTCCTTAATTCCACCTTAATTTCACTGTGGCAGATGCTTGTGGCAGTTATGGCTGAATCATTCCCTCAGCTAGGTCAAAGAATTCAAATGTTATTAATCTTAGGAACCGGTTAATTGCAACTGCTCATCCTTGCTCCTTTAGGGGCCCTGGCTGTTACACTTGAGTCTACACAGAGCCGGCCCTAATCACAAGCATGTGAAACACCTGTTTGTGGCCTTAAAAATATATAGTTATTATTCAGTCTTTTTCTCCCAAAATCTTCATTGGTTCTGGTGGTCAATGCAACGCGATATAATTCTTAGTATCAAGGGTTCGAATCACATGTCTTTCCTTTTATTCTTTTTTAATTTTTTTCCAAAAAAGAAAATTTATAACAGGTCCGAAAAACAAGTGGGCTTGTGGCTCTAAAAGTTATAGAACCGGCTCTGGGTCTACGTAATCAAAGAAAATATTTTTTTCTACTAAATTTACTTGGAACTTCTTCAGGCCTTCTTAGGACAGGAAGCTTTGGTATCAGGCTGTGTGGTTCAAGAACTCCGTGCCTAAGCAATATATCTTTCACTTTCTGGATTGCAACCCTTGATAGACTTCATGTAGAGACAAGACTTGCTCCAGAGACCATTTACTCTTCCACTGCTCTTTTTCTGAACATGTTTGGTTCCAAGTCCTCCATAGGCTCGGTCAACCCACTTGTACTTTTGTTGATTGGTGTATTGCCATTACTTGGCTCCAAAGCAAATCACTCTTTGTTTCTACAACCACGAAATAAATAAAACAAATTATTGGGTAATTATTTTTTTTTTGAATGTAATGTTAAATTATTGCCAATCTAGCTCTTTTGATCACAAATTTTTTTGAAGTCATGAATATAATTAGGCAATAATTTGTTTTATTTCATAATCATTTGCAGTTTACATCGAATTTCAATCTAATGAGATATAGTAATTCGATTAAAATATTTTGTGAGACCAAACTATACCTCTTGCAAAGAGAAAAAAGAAGTAAGAACTATAAACATATCACATAATATCTCTAGAAAAATATTTTAAAAAACCACGAACGATACCAACCTTGATAATCTGGATTGCGATGAGTAGGACGGATATCAGCATTTTACAAGTTTGTGGCCTGGGTTTAATACAAAAAAACTTAATTCTCCAAACAAATGACATATATATGTTAGCTAGCTAGCACATGGCCAAAGAATTGAAACGGTAGTGAAGATTTAGACCTCCTACCTCATATGTGCGACAATGATCCTTCACATATGTGTTGATAGTGGAAAAGACTCTTTTTATCATAGGTTCTACTTTCTTTTTGTAATCCTTGAACCTTTTGTTTTGAGAACTCACAGGACCCCAACATCAAGACACTATAATTGAACAGTCTTTATTTTCTTCGAATATGTTGTCAAACCTTTTGTCTTAGATGGAATATCTTTTTGTGCTCTAATTTTGTGTAAGAATGAAAGAGGAAAACTAATGGCACCCGCACCATAATCATCTATAAACCCAAGTTCACTTGTTTTATCGAACTAATATTTTGTTACTAACAAAATCTTTTTGCAATTGTCTGAGCCTCGCGAGCTCAGAATTGGTGTTTCTCCTCGCAACTTGGCCTTGAACGCTTTATAGTGATCTGAAACAATTTGAGTAGTAATGTTGTATTTATTTTCTGTAGAATGCTTTAATCTGATTCTTGTAATCTTTGTAATTCTGTCAAAAATCTAAAATGGTATAAAATTTAACCTTTTATCAAAAAAAAATCCCTTTGCAAACATGTTCTATAAGAGTTACTAACTTACTATTATCTTTAAAAGGCTTTTGAACTCAAAAAAATGTTTTAGTGCACTCCTCAGTCTCCTCTTATTGTTTAATTACATAATGAATCATGATGATGCACAAATGGCTAGATACTAGTCAATATATTTCTTTTTTTAAGAATTTTCTTTATCTTCTTTGGACAAAAATCGAAGGTTTATCTTTCTAATTTTTGGGATAACTCTTGGCCTCTTGCATCTTTTTGCATGGCATGTCGTCACTATCCAAAGATATAGGCTTTGATTATCTCTCTCTATAACAAAAAATATGCTTAACAATTATATAGTATGTATTATAATATGGTATTATCAACGCAAATCAAATTCATATATGCTTCATAAACTCTAAAATACCGCGTTATTCAATTAGGATTTCAATTACTTCATTCATATTGGATATGATTTAAAAATAGATATGTGTATTTTTACCAATATATATATATATATATATATATATATATATATATATATATATATATATATATTTGTACCAACTAAATTTTCCTGAGTAAATTATTGAAAATAAAATCTACGATTTAGATGATTTAAAATCTATAGACACCTTCATTTTTATAGTGTTCAAAATTTTAAATCTTGAATATTATAACATAGAACTTAACGTTTAATGATTAATCTAATAATGCTCCCATTAATATATAATCTTTATATTTGTTGACATCCATTAATATCTAATCTTATACTAATATTATCGATATAAGTCAATTGAAACCCAAAAATCTACATAAGTGAGAGCTTCTTGATAAAACATAAGTGAGAGTTGTAGACTACAACTTATTACAACATACTCTTAAGTCTTAACCATATACTACTATTTACTTATATATCTTCGAGAGTTACTTAATTAATTACATATTTACATCGTTCTCTTTGTTAGCAAAAAAATTGTTTTGACTATTAGAGTGCAATCCCTACAATTCAGCATATTTTTCTAAGACTATCTCAGTCAATTCGGTCTTTATCTTTATGGAAATTAATGTCAAACAATTCTACTTTTTCACGTAAGTTGATTGTTCTTTTTCTTTTCTTTTTTGGATAAAAGACATTAAGTTGAATGTTCTCATTCGTTATTTATCACTTACACATATATTCGTTAAGTATCACTATCACTTATATACATATTTTGGATTATTTTTGTATATCATCCACCAAATTTCTTTTTTGGAAAAAAAGTATGGTTGGCCAAATGGTCGTGTGCTTGTATCCATTGAATCCAAACGACCTTATTGTCTATCTTTTAGATTTTCGTCATCACTAACGTCACAAAATTGCGTTGTCCAATGTTTAGTTAGTGGGGTTTGTTCTGTTTTTGTCTTTTTTAATATTTACTACTTTCCTTTTTCACTTTATATAAATCCTAACTTTTGTGTTATTGTCTTTCATTAGTGACAAAACCATCCAAATATTAAACAAATGGCCAACAATAATTCAAACTCTCCCACCGGTCCACACTTTCTATTCGTAACATTTCCAGCCCAAGGTCACATCAACCCATCTCTCGAGCTAGCCAAACGCCTCGCCGGAACCATCTCCGGTGCTCGAGTCACCTTCGCCGCCTCCAGCTCCGCCTACAACCGCCGCATGTTCTCTCAAGAAAACGTCCCCGAAACCCTAATCTTCGCTACCTACTCTGATGGCCACGACGACGGTTTCAAATCCTCTACTTCCTCCGCTAAATCTCGTCAAGACGCCACCGGAAACTTCATGTCTGAGATGAGACGACGTGGCAAGGAGACACTAACCGAACTAATCGAAGATAACCGGAATCAAAACCGGCCTTTCACTTGCGTGGTTTACACGATTCTCCTCACTTGGGTCGCTGAGCTAGCGCGTGAGTTTCACCTTCCTTCTGCTCTTCTTTGGGTCCAACCTGTAACAGTCTTCTCCATTTTTTACCATTATTTCAATGGCTACGAAGAAGCAATCTCAGAGATGGCTAATAACCCCTCTAGTTCTATTAAATTACCGTCTCTGCCACTACTCAGTCTCCGTGATCTTCCTTCATTCATGGTCTCTTCCAATGTCTACGCGTTTCTTCTACCGGCTTTTCGAGAACAGATTGATTCACTGAAGGAAGAAGCAAACCCTAAGATCCTCATCAACACTTTCCAAGAGCTTGAATCAGAAGCCATGAGCTCGGTTCCAGATAATTTCAAGATTGTTCCCGTTGGTCCGTTATTAACGTTGAGAACCGATTCATCGAGTCACGGTGAATACATAGAGTGGTTGGATACAAAAGCGGATTCGTCTGTGCTTTACGTTTCGTTCGGGACACTTGCCGTGTTGACCAAGAAACAGCTTGTGGAGCTTTGTAAAGCGTTGATACAGAGTCGGAGACCGTTCTTGTGGGTGATTACGGATAAATCGTACAGAAGTAAAGAAGATGAGCAAGAGAAAGAAGAAGATTGCATAAAGAGTTTCAGAGAAGAGCTCGATGAGATAGGAATGGTGGTTTCTTGGTGCGATCAGTTTAGGGTTTTGAATCATAGATCGATAGGGTGTTTCGTGACGCATTGCGGGTGGAACTCGACGTTGGAGAGCTTGGTATCGGGAGTTCCGGTGGTGGCCTTTCCGCAGTGGAATGATCAGATGACGAACGCGAAGCTTTTAGAAGATTGTTGGAAGACAGGTGTGAGAGTGATGGAGAAGAAGGAAGAGGACGGAGCAGTGGTGGTGGATAGTGAGGAGATACGGCGGTGCATTGAGGAAGTTATGGAGGAGAAGGCGGAGGAGTTTAGAGGAAACGCGGCGAGCTGGAAGGATTTAGCAGCGGAGGCGGTGAGAGAAGGTGGCTCTTCCTTTAATCATCTCAAAGCTTTTGCCGATGAGCACATGTGATTTGGTATCAGAAATTATAACAACACTCTGTTTTTTTGTTCTTTTTTGCTCTGTTTCAATGTTTACACAATACAGTATTTTGGATATTGATTGGTTGGTTTTCATTCTTGAAGATGATGAAATGTAATTTATTCAAGAAGTAATAGATAGATACACGAGAGGCACAAATGATACAATCAAATTGTCAGTTTCACTTGGTCTTACTTGACGGCCAAGAAAACAAAAGAAATTGAATGCTGCAGACTGAATCCTGAGTTTCCGAGTGTATAATTTCTTTGTGTAACTGAAGAAGCCAAACTCTCAGTGAGCGTTTCGAGTGATCAAGCCCTCGAATATGACGTAGAGATCTCTGTTATCGCCTCCAAATATCTCTTCAGCTTTCCTAAGCGTTTCCTGGAAAACAAAGAAAAAAAGACATTGGAGGTCGTTTCAAAATCCGAGTTTTGAATCGAAAGACGGTAGGATGATTGAGAGAGGATTCTCCTTACTTCTCTTGTCTGCTTGTGGGCGTTAAGATCCTTCACATTTCCAAGAAATGCACCAAATTGCTCGTAAGATAATCGGCTCCTGATCAAGATTCAATAACAAGATGTAGGATGTGTTACAAACAATGCTATAGAGAGTTTTTTTTGTAAGAACTTCTTTTTACCTGACTTGTCGGAAAAACTCTTTTCCATCAACCCGAGTTCTAGCTGAATACACAGATAACAAACAAACCGTTAACGATCGTCTTGTTTCAAAACCCGCCACAAGAAAATCCTGGTCTTAACTTACTGGTCTGTGATCCAGGCTCTGAAATTGAAATAGAAGATCTAGTATCATCAAACACGCCTCTAGTGGTAGCAAATGATACAGAATGGCGTCGAGGAGAGAGAGGTCTCGAAGTTGTTTTCGGGGTACCAGAAGCAGATAAGATTGGTGGAGAACCAGGAGGAGTAAGCCGTGGCGTAGTAGTTTGCGATATTAACGGAAGACTGGCTGATAAACTCGGTTTTGGAGCTGGAATATAACACAAAGCATTAAACACACAGAAACAAAAGGTTTGTGGCTTGAGAATTGAGATTTACAGTACCATCGTTTTCCTTGTCAGTTGTAGCTGGTTCAATAGCTTCAGAAGCTTGAGATTGAATTGATGAATGTCTTGAAGGTTGAAATGGAGTATCATCATCTGAAAAATGAAAAAAGACCATCCATTTGGTTAATGAATACAAGATTTCACTAACATCTTCACAAGAACTATACCGTTTGGTGTCGGCTTAGCGATGATTTGCGTTGTTCCTGCCTGTTAAAAAATCCCCAAACAATATCAATTCAAGATTATGAATTTGTTACTTCTTCAAAGCAAATTGAACAACATGAAGAGTATAAGTCTTCATACATTTTGGTCATCATCTTGAAGAGACATCATAAGCGTCTTCCTAAATCCCTCAAGCTGCACACAAATTCATATAATTCATCAATATCTCCAAAAACCCTAAAATCTCAGCTACTTCCAAAATTAGAAACAAAGAGACCTAAAGTCAAAACTACCTTAGAGACATCTCTCTGAAGTCTCTTCACAGTATTAGACAACGATGCATTCTCTCTTATCAGATTCTCCTGAAAATTTCGAATCATAGATTTGAATATTTGATCAAAACTCTAAAACGAATCGGGTCAAAAAAAAGTCAAAACCGGGTCGGACCTTTTCACCATCAGCTTGAGAAAGCTTATGAAACGCATCGGAGAGAGAAGCGTCAAGAGACTCGACGTGAGATTGTAGCTCGGCGATTTCTTTATCTTTCTCAGCGAGAAGTTCCCGGAGATCCGACGACTCTGATTCGAGAGCAGAGACACGTGTCGAGAGAGCAATGGATGTGATTTTGCGAGCTACATCGAGTTGCTCGAATGGATCGGACGGTAGAACTTGAAGAAGTTCGTCGGGAAGATCGAAACTTCTCGAATCTGTAATTGCATTTGTTGATCCTTCTTCTTCTTCTTCTACGTCTGACATTTCTCGTTTTCTGTGTTTTTTTCTTTAATTATCTATTCAGTTTTTATCGTTTTATTTTTGTACCTTACGAGTTCATATACGTATTCGGTTATGTTACGGTATAATCCGGTATAAGTTTTAAACCGAAATTGGAATCTAAACCAAACAATTTCTTTATTATATATCAATATCCATCGATCAAGATTCGTATTATTTACACATAATCTAATGAATGTCATTATCTCAACGCTAATTTCTATTGTGTTATGGGAAATATACAATCCCGGTTTGGGGTTAAGATTCCGGTTCGGTTATGTAATGTTGATATGATTGAATTGATAGACGTGAAAGTGTGTGGACAAAGAAAAATGTGGTCACGTATGGTTTGTCTTTTTGTGTTAAGTGACATGAAGTAATGTGTGGTATTGGTTTGGGTAAGCCAAATTTGTGATCTATGAATGGATAGGACTATAATTCGTTGGACCCATAAGTGACAAAGAAATTAAAAGATCATTTTTTCAAATGCTTTGGGAATGTTTTTAATTAAAGCATTATGCAATTAAAGTTTGATTTTCGGGTTCTAGAAAACTTTAACAATGTATAATTGTATATCCCCACATAATTTGAAATTCGAGTTTTATCCACATGTTTGTTAATTCCAAACGGTTTTCGTTAAATTTGATACAAAACCGGATTCAAATTGCAATCAAACCGAAAGTCCAAAGATTACTCGATTTTGCACCTATTAAAGTAAATACATTCCTCTATAATTGTGTTTAATAGTTGAATAAATAAGAAATATTATTATTTTCTCAACAAATAAGTAAATCATTTTTCACATTTCAATGTATCATGTTAGAAATTTTGTACAAGTCATAAGATCTTTAAACTATATACATACAACTTACAAGATAAATAAGGATTCATCTTCTAATGGAACCAACATATCTTCATGAGAAGGTTTAATCTTCTCTGTCGTGTGTAGGCAATAAAAGTGACTGCTCAGAATCACTTTCTGTTTTAGTTGCATCCTCTCTTGCTTTGCCCCAAATCACAGTGTAAAACCCAAAGCTCAATATCACTGATCCAATCACACTGCCCACACAACACAGATGCAAAATTATATGTACCAATCATGTAAATCTTATTAACCAACAACCGAAAACTTATATCGATTGTTACTGTCTGCATATTTCAAAGGCTAAGTTGGATTCATTAGTTATTGAGTTAAGTATCATGCATTTGAAGATGAAACTAAACATTTAACAAACCTAGAACTATGTTTTTTTAAGAAAGAGACATTATATAGTTGAAGGTAATAAGATGGTACCTCCCGAGGTGAAGTGCCTCGCCAAGGAATATAGCAGCCATGGCGACTGCAATTGCAATAGACAATGGCTTGAACAAGGATACGTAGACCGGACCCTTCACATGAAGACCCCATGTGTGGATAACTGAGCCCAATGATGTATCAAAGAGTCCCTGAAACAGAGTGTTAGTGTCTGAGCTTAAGATTTGATTTCTCAAGTTATGAAGTTTTATTTCTCACCGAGTATATGACTGAAGCGAGGGAGAAACCGGGTTTAAGCTGCCAAGAATTCAAGTCTTTTTCTGCAAGTAGACATACTATCCCTGAGATTAGCGTTGCGCATAAGTTGTAGCAGAAGACTACAGCTATTTCTTCAGGGTATATCTCCATGATATGAGTCTGAAATCATGTACAACTGACGGATTTTAGTTCAATCTTATGCGTTACTAACCAACCCAAAATCTCTTTCATGAATCTGATCAAGTTTATGTACCTGAAGAATAAACCAGACTGAAAGAAGCAAAAATTGCAGACCGAGCAAAAGGCCTCCAATTATCCAACTAGACTCGAACAAAGTAAATGATGGAGCAACAAGAAGTTTTGGGCCTTTATACAGAACAATAACCAGAGCACCAGATATAGAGACTATTGTGCCAATGATTTTAGCCTGAGTTGCAGAGCTTCTTAACATTACTTGTTCCATCCTTTACGAGCCACCCAATGAAGCAGAATAAGTCACCAAAGTTAGTGTTACAAACAAACCTCATATCTATCCAACATTTCTCATAAACGAATGGATGGTCCAACATTACCGCAAGGTTTTACTTGTACAACTACTCTATAAATCACAGTTAATGGAGAGAAGATTAATCTATGTTTGGTATTGTTTCATATTGATGGTTACTGGAATCACCCGGTTTAGGAGAAAGTGGAACCTGAAGAAGACGGCAAGCATGAAGGTGAAAGCTGGTGTAAGATTGCTGATAGCAGAGGAAAGAGTTGGGGAACTATATTCTATACCTTTACAACCAGCTACCTTCGACGTGAGCCTGTTTTTTCCCCCCAAGTTAGCAAACTAGAAAAGATATAAAAAAACCCGAAAAAACGCTCATAAATCTAGACATATATTATTACCCGAGAAGCGCAAGTAAGAAAATCTTGAAGAAGAGAGGAGACTTGGCTGTAGGTAAACTTCTCGACCTACATATGTAAAATAAGTAAGTTCATATTCTTAAAACAGGGCAAGTCATAGTTGCTTCGAGAAGATCAAGTACCTTCCAAAGATAAGGGAAAGTAGAAGAAGAACAAGTGAAGCACCAACATAAGAATAAAACACAAAGACATAAAAGCTAAATCCTCTTAAGGTAGCAGCTTTATACAGTGTGCTCGATCCAACCGTTGTACACTCGACTGCGATCATCGCAGCAAACGGCACAACATCTCTTTTAAAGTACTTCCAAGAAACTGTCTCTTCTCTCATGATAGATTCTCAGATAATCTCTCTCAAAGTTAAAGTGAGTTTAGAAGCAACCATGGTATTCGATGGTCAACTCCAATACATCATTAGTGACCACAAAATGTAAAATATCTCTCAACTTGACTAATACTTTACAACAAAAGGATCAAACTTCGAATATTCTAGGGACCCCATGACAATGAACTTTGCCCATTCTAGCTTTAACTTCTTCAGCTCAATCATTCATTCAACTGAAGAAAGTTTTCAATTTTCCATTTGAACATTTCTTATCGAAAGATTAAGACTTTATATCTTCAGAGAATAAATCTTGGGAAGTGAATATTGGGTTTTCTTGTCACCTTCCAGAGATATTAACCACAAATCTGAAACCTCTAATCCAATAAACCCTAAATCATCACTGACCTCGAAAAATTAACCTAAAGCAATCGGATTAGAAAAATTAGCCTAACGCTTCGATTTCAGTATCATCCAATAAACCCTAAATCATCACTGACCTTCGAGTCCTCCAGCTACAAATCGCACATTTGTATTACAAAATCGTACACGACGGCGAAGCGAACCCAGAAGCTGGGTCTGAGAGTTTGAAATTTATGTGTTTTTTATTTTTCATTAAAATACACAGACTTAGAAATATTTTCACTAATATAATATTCTGTTTAATTGAAAAATGGTCCCACTAATCAAAACTAGGTCTTGGCAAATAAACCTAACCAAATTTAACATTAGCACTACGAAAAATTAGAAATAGACAAAAATATGTGAAGGCGTCCTTACACTTCTCTAGTAAGATTTCGAAAGCCGGCAACTCTATTGGTGTAGACATTCACCAGTTCGGAGCAATCAGTGACAAAAGTAACATCGGTTTTCTGGTTAGCAATCATACTCATTACTCACACTAGTGCTTCCAACTCAGCGTGAAGTGGAGACAGACTCTTGCGTAGATTACAAGCTCCTATATCATCCTAAACCGAAAAATGAATCTCATATCTGATGGTATGATAGGGTAGGACTCTCTAGACTCCTTTGCTTGCGCATGAGTCAAAACATAAGCTTCACTTTTTCGCTAAATTTAAGAGTTTTGTAAGGATCTCTCTATCCACATTCAAAAACTAATTTATTTTCGAAAAAAACTTATTCTTATATTAATAATGTTTAAAACATCGTTTAACTCTGTTACTTTCTAATATAATTGAATTGAATGAGTAGAAAAATCCTGAACTTGAAACTCTAAAAAAAAAAAAAAAAAACTATTTGAAGATTTTATCCATCCAATTCAATTTGATACCGGACCAACATAATTAAACAATCTTTTTTAACATGATTAAGGTAAAATAATAGATGCATTATTTTTTATTTTCTTAGAAATTTTGGTATTTGAAAATTTTAATGAGAATGTTTGAGCAGTTTTTGGCTAATTTTGAAAGTTTTAATTTTTCTGGCCATTTTTTAAAAATAGACTAATACTGTACATTCGTATGTAGAAATAGAAATAACATATTTTTCTCTCTGTTATACTTTTCAATTTTTTAAATTCAAATAATATATGAAAATATATATTTTTATAATTTGTCAAAAAAACTGAACCATTTGTTATAAAAAAATATTTTGGGACACCAATTTTTAGAAAACACTGAAAAAAGGAACTAAAAGTCAAAAATATATATTCGTCCATAAAATTCAATAGTCATTGACATTATTTTTCTCAAATATATGATCAAATGATAGCTATCTAAGCTATTTTTACTAACATTTATCATCATCCTTTAACATAAAACGATGGATTCTAAATTTTCACAACACATTTTGCTACATCTCCGGATCACAGCAAGCGTTGGCTCACATCCTCCACGTGACCATCACAATTTATGAGTCTTTGGAGTTGTCTAATAATTATACTCTAACCAAAACATCACCAGAAAGTTCGATAGAGCATGGCACATAGCCACATACTCCCATAACATTTGGGTCCCTTGAGCATGAATTATGACACTTCCAGATTCTTCGGAACTTCTAACCCTTTTGAAATATTAGCTCACCAATTAAAGTAAAAAAAATGATATAAGTAAATACAAGTATAAAAAACTTATTATGATTAAATAGTAGTATATTTGCCCAAAAAGAAAAAAAAAAAAAAGATTAAATAGTAGTATGAAATTACTGAAAACATCTAGCGTTAAGTTAATTTTCTAAAAACATCTTTCCTTGAATTAGGTTACTCCAAATTGTATTCATTTCGTTAGTTTTCTCTTCCACATTCTTCTAATAGCATAATAAAAGGATAAATATAAATATTTTGCAACAGTATACAAACAATTTAAATTGTAAGTTTAGTAAAAATTATATGGCTACATCCCTCTCCTGGAACTTGGCTAGTCATATTCACACCGACCAGAACCACAAATACGTTTAGGTTTCTACTCCATCAATCTCAATTATTTCCTTAATATCTTAACATGTGGAAAACAAACCAAGAAACATCATTCTACCAATAAGAGAGTTGAAGTTAAGAAAAAAAATTAACTAACCGAAATAGAACTATATATGACCTCATAATTTTTCTAAGCTGATTCTTATTCAAAACCTTAGAAATTAATTTTAAGCGTAGCCACTTATATGGTCGTTGATAAAAAGAGGAAGAACAACCGTGGAATGGACATATTAGCCAATCATAACCACATCTATCTTTCATCCACTCACGTCACTCGTCAAACCAAAATCTATAAACCAACAAAAAGAGATCACATAAAGTCTACGTAACTAATAAGAACCAACAAAAATCAAATAAATTAGGATCAGAGAAGAAGTTTATAGAACCGCCATTTCTACTCTCGCAAATAGCTACTCATCAAACACAAATTTCGATTTCACGTAAGCAATTACATATAATTTTTATTTTATACACTCCTTTCTCTTACTTCTTTATTTTATATACAACTCTTAAAAGTAAGATATATAATATTTATTTAAGTGGTTTATGCTTTATATAAGAAAATGACAAGTATGATCGTGAAGACAACGCCGGAGCTCTTAAAAGGAAATGGAGTGTACCGTACGGATCATCTCGGCGAAAACCGAATGGTTAGTCGATCAAACCGGCTAGGTGATGGACCAAACCGTTTCCCTAGAACCGGTACAATCCATTGCCAACGGTTAAGCATAGCAAGAACCGGTTTGCATCGGGATACAAAGGCTCGAGCCATCCTTGGCCTTGTGTCCGATCCGGCCGCTTCCATAGCCCAAAAGGTAAGTTTTTCCATTTCAATTTTTCTGGTGTATTTTCATAGGTTTCCCCATAAATTATACACTTGTTATTATGTTTAGTTTTATAATTCTGACGTGAGATTCTTGAGAGAAATTATCACCGATCATCGGGTCGAACCATCTAGCAGCTCAATTATTTTCGGTTAGCCCTACCGGTTATAGAATACAAAACAAGTTACGCCATCGTGACATTTACTTTGTGATCTTGTGAGACTATTAATTATTTGATGTTGATTGGTTTCGTTACTCTTGTTTAAACAATCGAACGGTTCAAATAATACACACATCTGAGATCATCTCGGTAATTATATTAAATAGCGTCAGGCTTAAATTATGAAATGATATTTTTGAATTAACTTATCGTGGATACATGAACCTTTTCAAAAATTCAAGTATTTTACATGAACCACTAGATGCATTAGCCCTACTTTTCGTAAAGACACCTTTTATTGAATCCTAAAACCACTTTGCCGCTTTAGTCAGTTTCTTGTGCCACTTGGTAGATCCGGCAATGCCACGTTGAAGTTCAGTCGGTGTTCTCTCATCTCTTAATTAAGATATTTCTTAATCAAGATATTTCTTAATCAAGATATTTCTTAATCAAGAATCGTTTTGTTATGGTACCAAAGTATACGTGGATATGTCCAAACTGCAAAAAAGAAGAAAAAGAAAACGCCAATAAAAAAATAATACTGATACTAGTAAAATTAAAACCCACAATTCACCTTAAAAGAATTTGTGTTAGAGATGGTATGGCAAGAACTGGTTGAATTTGATGACAGCTTTTTGCTATTGTTTTGGTTTAAGTAATAGTTTTTTTAAAAGAAAATAACATTGCTAGTCGTTTATCAACCAAAAAAAAAAAAAAACATTGGTAGTCGACTAGTCGTAGATAGCAAGTGTGTGAGTGATATCAGATATGGTTGACACATCAATGACGAGTCATCGGAACGAAGCTTCTTTAATTTTGGTCAATTATATTACAATTTAGCACTTCGAGGTTGGAATTTTGGAATGATCTCTTGATAAAATTAAATATGAAATTCGACTGTATACAAGTTTTTATATCATGAAATTATTTGATGTTCTTAAAAATGATTGTCGTAAGAAAACAGAAACTTAATTTTAGATCATTATAATAATAGTTTACTAATCTTATTTAATTATTGATTATTTATTTTATTTTAGTTTTAGTTTAAATTATAAACATTATATATTTAGCTTTTACATAATAATGGACATGTCAAATTTAGGATGGATAAATTTGATCAATTTATCTTTGTGCTTTTGACACCAATATCAATTTTATCTATTTCATCCAAGTTTTGCTTTACTATATATATAGATACCTATATGTGTTCTTTAACTTGCACAAACATTTCTTCAATCTAAACCTCAATCAAAACAAAACAAAAACATGACGCAGCGAGTATTCACCTTTGGAAAAGGAAGAAGCGAAGGCAACAAGGGCATGAAGTCCTTGGTATGTTACCATCATCATCATCATGATCATATCTATTCATTAATAATTAGTGTTTTGTTATTTTCAAGAATCATTTATCAAAAAATGTTAATTGTTGTGTATGAAGTTGGGAGGGAAAGGAGCCAACCTGGCGGAGATGGCGAGCATAGGCTTGTCGGTGCCGCCGGGGCTAACCATATCTACGGAGGCTTGTCAGCAGTATCAGATCGCCGGCAAGAAGCTTCCAGAAGGTTTATGGGAAGAGATCTTGGAAGGTCTTAGCTTCATTGAACGTGACATTGGAGCT